CTTGGATGATCTTGCATCCTCTCTCGAAGTGGATGGTTGAAACTTTTTCAGCGGTGATTAGCTTTGGAAGATTTCACTGCAAGGAAGTTTGTTGTGTCAACCAAGGACGTTTGACCCGGCCACCTTTACTGAGGTCTGCGGTTGTCCGCCTGCAATTTTTGTTGCATGTTCTTTTGCCATGCTGGATGACGTGATTTAATGCTGACTGAGGATGTGCGTGCTGTGTACTGTTCACGGAGACAAAGGGTACCATTGACGACGAGCGTCACTACTCCTCTCCGAGTCACCTTCTGTGACCCCCCGCTAACCGCTCCTCTCCACAGGCAGACGGCCAACGACCTGACGGGCGAGCACACGTGCATCATGCTGCGCCGCTGCGGCCGTCGGCTGCCGAGCCGCCGCCGCCCGACGACCACTGGCTGCCGGCGTTCTGGGCCGACTTCCGGCGCCGCTTCCTGGCGCTGCTCGGCTACCAGTTCCGCGCCTTCACCACCGGGCTGGCGCTCAGCGTGCTGTCCAACGCGGCGCAGAGCCAGCCGAGCTCAGGTGGGTAGACACAGACACATAAACTGGACGAGCATTGAGCAGACACAGTATGGCGCGGCGCCGTGCGTTATGGCGTTCTAGGCCCCTGTTTGCAATTGTGACCCCACGAAAGTGGGTTTGTGAACCTCTGCTTTATCCGACCCCTCGGAGGTCGAGCGCGCCTGACGGTCGTGATTTGTGAACCCCTGTCCCCCCTCTGACCCCTCAGAGGTGGAGCGCGCTGTGCTGGAGGAGTTTTTGAACCCCTGCCCCCCCCCCCTCCGACCCCTCAGAGGTGGAGCGCGCTGTGTTGGAGGAGTTTGTGAACCCCTGTGTCCTGTGACCCCTCAGAGGTCGATCTGTGGTGGTTTGTGAACCCCTGTCCCCCCTCCGACCTCTCAGAGGTGGAGCACGCTGTGCTCGATGAGTTTGAGAACCCCTGTGTCCTGTGGATTCCCGGATGAAAAGTCAAAACGTTAAAAGTAAACGGATAAAAAGTCAAAGGACATTAAGTCAACAGACAGAAAGTCAACATCGCAAGAAGTCAAAGGACAAAATGTCAAATGAACAAAAAGTCAACCTGCCAAAAAGTCAACACGCCAGAAGTCAACAAGCTAAAAGTCAACACGCAAGAAGTCAAAAGACATAATGTCAAAGAGACAAAAAGCCGACATGTCAAAAAGTCAACGCGCTAAAAGTCAACACGCTAAAAGTCAACACGCATAAAGTCAACACGCAAAATGTCAACGCGCAAAAAGTCAACACGCAAAAAGTCAAGACGCTAAAAGTCAACATGCCTAAAAGTCAACACGCTAAAAGTCAACACGCGAAAGGTCAACATGCTAAAAGTCAACACGCTAAAAGTCAACATGCTTAAAGGGACCCTCCCACCTTAACATTAGTTTTGAGTTGAGATAGCCAAGTTTGCGGCCAGGCTCAGAAACCACCATTTATCCTGGTCGCAACCCCCGCAGCTTTATGGTGTTCAAGAAATTTCTTCCCTTTACTTGCAGGGTGGGACCAGCGTGGTCCCTATCTCTTAACCATTACGGGAATCTGATGACGTCATCAGGCTTTCGAACGTCCGTTAAATGTTTGACTAAAACGTATTGTAGCACGCGGTGGTATATGCTGCTTTGCGCGCAACAAATGCCGCACTTTCAAATAAAGTCGCTAGGAACAGCGGAGATACCAAAAAGTAAACAAAAGTAAAAGTCTAATATCATGAAAACCGGTGAATATTTTTCGATGAAATTTGGTAGATATTCGTTTTTGCACTTTCTGAACCGAGCGACATCACTTTCATGCCAATTCATTAACTTTTTTGAAGGTGGGAGGGTCCCTTTAAAAGTCAACACGCTAAAAGTCAACACACAAAAAGTCATTAAGCAAATAGTTAATAGGTGCGAGAAAAGTTGATGCGCAAAATGTAGTCAACAGCAAAAAGTAGTTTTAAACAGCAGTCGTTAACTAAGTCGGTACAAGTACGCCGCAGTCCGCGTCTCCGGTCGGTCATCGGTGACTGACCCGCGCCGGGCCACTGATCCCCGGCCCCCGCCCGGCCCGCTGGGCGCCGGCTGCACCGCATAGCGCGTCTCGGCGCGTCCCCGTGCGTGCCCCGACACTACCGATAAGAACGCTTCTACCTATTTTTACTTTGCTTTAAAAGTATATTGGGAATGTGAACTTATCTATACAAAGTTGCGTACTGTGCCTGCTGTGGCGGCCAGGGGGGGGGGGGGGCAGTTCCCATAAGGAGACGTAGGGCGGAGGCGAAGATGAAGGAGAGGGCCAGTAACTGGTGGCCACAATGCGCTATAATTGTCACCTCTCTTTGGACGTCACAGCTCCGAGGTCCGAAAAAAATTGTGTTTTTAGCAATCGCATCTCGATAACTTAATTGATCTATACATTTCGATGAAAATTGGTCACCTTAATTGTATGCAGTCCGTACCTTTCGATGAAAATTGGTCACCTTAATTATATGCAGTCATCCGTGAATATTAACAGGTTGTTGTCTGTTGATGCTGATATGAGCGTTCCTTTCAAGGCAGGACAATCCGACAATCACACAATTGCCTCTCGTTCCAACTTCCACCTATCTAAAAGAAACGACGCGCTTTACTATTGTACCAATTGTACAATACAATACGCTTGAACTATAATAACCCGCGCCCGGCTGGGGGTCCTGGATTTCCACGCCCTGCTGGGGGGGGTTTGAACCCCCCCCCCCTTTGTAACTCGGCTCCTGGGCCACGTAGCGATACGCGGAAGGCGGCGTTCGAAAGAGCGTCAAAAATAATGACGAAACTTTGGTCAATTTTTTGGTCAGGTCAAAGGTCAGGTCACCAGAGGTCATTGAAGGCAAAATTTCGCCGATTTCCAGGTCAAATGTCGGAAAACTTCCAAGAAGCCAACGCATAACTCGGGAACCAATAGAGCTACAGCGCCGCGGAAAAGCGCATTCGATAGCCTTATTAACGCCCTTTCTGAGTAATTCTCTCAAATTTGACCGAACGTCAACCGTTTTGCCTGCAGGGGGCAAAAACTGCAAAAATAGCCGATTCTTTTCGGAAACAGTTTTTCTGCAATAACTTTTGACCCAAGCCTTGTACGAGCTTACTTTCACCGGCATCGTGTTCCTCTTGTCAAGACGCATCGAATGAATTATAACTTGATCTTGAAAGGTCAACTTGAAAATTTGACCTCAGGTCAAGGTCATGACCTGACCGGAAAAGGTCATGTTGCATATCATTCGATCCGTATCGTCGAGCTGAACACATCTAAGGCGTTTTCATCGCTCGCCTCAATCAAAAATTATTTGCGAAAAACTGTTAGATACCATTCGTGACCTAAGATGACCTCAGGGCATAAACAAAGGTCACGGACACCATTTTCATGTTAAGTGTGTCTAAACCACTTGTAATTCGGTGTTTGGGAGTGTTTATAATGTCTTTCGTCCAAAAGAGGCGCATTTCAATTTTCTCCCATTGACTTATAATGGGGAGGTCGCAAAATTGACCTGACCTTAGGTCATCGATATCAAAATTCTGAGATATACATTTTGTACATGCTATTGCTCTTAGCAATCACTGAAGGTGTCAAAGCGATCGGTCACTCGGTGTAGCTATGACAGACATTGAAACTTTTTATGAGGTGAGGTCACTTCAAGTGACCTGGTGACCTGACCTTGAATGACCTTGGTCTGAAATTTTCACAACATGTGTAGAATTGATGTATGATAAGGTGTAATAAAAACAGCTATTTGCGAAAAACCACAAGGAAGGTGTTCAAACACCCCCCCCCCCCCTTAGCAGGGCGCGGGATAAAAGTGTGAAATCGCTAATAGAACCCGTGACGGAATCAATTGATAAGAAACGTCTCCCTACACAATATGGGAAATTTGAACAAGCGAATCTTTCGTATCGATAACATTCCGGGTTACTATATTTGTTGAAATAATTCCAGTAAACTGCGCCTGGGACAGCCAGTTGTCTCGAAGGATCATATAACGCTGCCCATGACAACCTTACGATGCGAGCGAGCTCCCACCTAGCAAGTGTCAACGGATGTGTGTCAGATTTCAGCCAAGCATGCCCGTGTGACCAGCTGAGTCGCGGTTGCGGGCCATTGGAATCCCCATCAGTCGCGCAATGGAGCCAGTCTCGCTTCAATGTCCAATGATGCAGGTTATATTGTGCAGCATCCTGCTTAATTGTGTACAGCTGTTTGTAAATGTTATCTCATGTATGTAATGACTGATGATCCAGGTGTCATTGACTTTGTCTCTTTGACTTGTCCTTTTGAGTTTTTGGATTTTGTTTTTTTTTTTCCTTTGGATTTTCGTAATTTGACTTTATGTCCTGTTGACTTTTCGTCTTTTGACCTTTGTCCTCTTCACTTTTTGTCCTTTTGACTTTCTGTCCCTTTGATTTTTTTGTCCTTTTGACTTTTTAGACTTTGACTATATGTCTTTTTGACTTTTTGACCTTTTGACTTTTTATTTTGACTTCATGCCCTGTTGACGTGTTGTTTTTTGACTTTCTGTCCTTTTGACTTTCTGTCCTTTTGGTTTTTTTGATTTTGACTTTATGTCCTGTTCACTTTTTGTCTTTCGACTTTTGTCCTTTTTACTTTTTGGCAATTTGACTTTTTACCGTTATTACTTTTTGTCTTTTGACCTTATGTCCATTTGACTTTTTGTCTTTTGACTTCTATGCTAGTTGACTTTTTGTTCATTGATTTTTTGGCAGTTTCACTTTTTATCTTTTGACGTTTTATCCTTTTTGACTTTTTGCCTTTTGACTTTCCTCTTTGTTGACCTTTTACCTGTTGACTTTTAAGATTTTTGACTTCTTGCTTTTGACGTAATGTCTGTTGACTAATCATACTTTTACCTTTTATCATTTGACTTTTTGTCCGGAACCCGTCCTGTGACCCCCAGAGGTGGAGCGCGCCATGCTGGAGGAGTTTGTGAACCCTTGTCCCCCCCCTCTGACCCCTCAGAGGTGGAGCGCGCTGTGCTCGATGAGTTTGAGAACCCCTGTGTCCTGTGACCCCCAGAGGTGGAGCGCGCCGTGCTGGAGGAGTTTGTGAACCCCTGTCCCCCCTCTGACTCCCTCAGAGGTGGAGCGCGCTGTGCTGGAGGAGTTTGTCAGTCCGTATGACCTGCGCCGGCTGGAGCTGTACGCCACAAACATGGCCGACTACCACCTGATCACGGACCTACTGCCGGCCGTGGCGCGGCTCTTCCTGCTCGGCCGGTTCGGCGACTGCCACCTCTCGCCAGTACAGACGGTTAGTGGTTGTCCTCTATCGCAGTTCGGCGACTGCCACCTCTCGCCAGTACAGACGGTTAGTAGGGGTTGTAGTTCGGCGACTGCCACCTCTCGCCAGTACAGACGGTTAGTGGTTGTCCTCTATCGTAGTTCGGCGACTGCCACCTCTCGCCAGTACAGACGGTTAGTGGTTGTCCTCTATCGCAGTTCGGCGACTGCCACCTCTCGCCAGTACAGACGGTTAGTAGGGGTTGTAGTTCGGCGACTGCCACCTCTCGCCAGTACAGACGGTTAGTAGGGGTCCTCTGCTGTAGTTCGGCGACTGCCACCTCACGCCAGTACAGACGGTAGGTGAGCGGAGCGGCCGACGCTCAGCGAAGTCGGCTATATTTATTGCCGGCTGGTCTTTGTTTTGGGTTGTTGTGTTTTTGCCCAAGCAGTCCCTCTCCGTGTGAACTGTGAATATGTCGCGCTGACGCGCATGCTGTGATGTTTCAGTGTATTCTGATCGGGCTGGGGCTGCAGTACAAGACGGTGGACGATCTGGCCAAGGAGCTCGATCTGGCGGCCAGTCAGCTGCTCGGACTCTTCAACAGAACCATCCGCAAGCTGACGCAGCTGCTCAGAGCGGTAAGGCTTCCGTCGCACTATTTGAAGGAAATCATGGACGAGGCCCAGCTAATATCGTCGAGTAGCGTAGCGTAGTGCTGGTGCTTTGCAATTATACTCGTAAAAATGAGGACGTTTGGGATTTAGTAACGCCCGGACTGCGTTAGTCGTCGGTGCCCATAAGGAGGATGGACGTGAACTCAGTCGATTTTGTGTATTTTCTCTAGTGGCTGAGATTGTCTCGTATGAGTCAGCCGCTACGAGCTGGACGTGTTACCGTTACCGCGTCCCGTTCTGGAGCGCGCCGTATCACGCCGCTCGCTCCGCCGTCAGGTGTACGAGAAGGAGATCGAGTCAACGTTCTCGGAGCGGAAGGCCATCGACATGGGCCCGGCCGCCAAGACAATCACGGAGGAGCTGGACGAGGCGGCTCAGGTGAGACGGCGCGGTCACGGGCGGCGCCCGACCACTGCGCGGTGCACGGTAACAGAGCTGCCCCAGCCGTCTGTGCTGTTCAGCGGCGTCGGGTATCTTGGTGACATGATCAATAGATAATAACTGCTGAACAACGATCGTCTTCCACAGCTGCAGTGCTCCTATGTTTTTCGTCTGTATTTCACTTGATTCTGTCTCAAGCTCCTAATTACCGCTCAGTTGATCCGGTCTGTGTTTCTCTCCCCAAGCCATTGGTTCCCCGACCGACGACCGTCTCCTGGCTCACGCCCTCGCCACCGTCCCCTGTAACGCCGCCCGGTCCGCCGCCCACTGTATCGCCCCCTGTTTCCGCCGGTAACGCCGCCCGGTCCGCCGTCTGTACCGCCCCCCCCCCCCCGTTCCGGCCGGTAACGCCGCCCGGTCCGCCGTCTGTACCGCCCCCCGTTCCCGCCGGTAACGCCGCTGCATCCGCCGCCCGTCCCCAGGAGCTGGCCGAAAAGCAGAAGGCTGAACTGGAGAAGCTGAAGCTACAGGACCTCAGTCAGTACGTCATCAAGGGTGCCGAGAGCGACTGGCAACAGGCGCTCGGCAGCGGCAAGCTCAGCAAGAGCTCCGTCTCCGTCAAAAGGTGGGGCTGGTGTACTGTGTAGTGTACTGTGCGTGGCAGGTTGGGGGCTGGATGCCTCAGATGTGCCTGCTGATCAGTTCTGAGGCTGTCGTGTCGTGTCGACTTGATACCCATTGTCAGTTGCGTTCCTAGTTTGAAGTGGCTGACGTTGTGTGCCTGTTTCAGCGGGGAGAAGCGGATAGAGCGGTCCGAGATCGAGATGGACATCGAACGTCTGGACGGCCCCGTCCCCAAAAAGGCCAAGGGAGAGAAATTCAAAAACATCGGCAAACCCAAGCCGAAGCAAAAACACAAAAACAAGAGCCAGCAGCTGGCGACGCGGTGAAGCAACGCCGAGGACCGTGACGTCAACATGAGTATTTGTAGTAGCTAGCTCTGTGACTCGCTCGCTTGTCATTGTACTGCCGGTGTCATGATGTGTTAAAAACAACGGGATGTCTTTAAACATTTCTTTTTCTGAGATGGCTAGATGGATCAAAATCGAATGAGGGAAGTTTAGTCCACATTTGAATCATCACTTAACTTGATCACTATGTGACTATCACGCAGCACATACGGCTCGAAGCATGTATCTTTTCTAGTCGCTAGTCTTCTTTTCTAGTAGCTAGTTGTCTCTCCCGTCCCTCACTCTGTCCCGTCCCGCCTCCCCCCTCCTCCCCCGCCCGCGCCGCACGGTCCCCTCCGCTGAAGCGTTTGTCGCCGCCCTCCCGCCTTATATGGCTGTGACGGCGCCGCGGCGCCGGCCGATAGCGCTGTTGACACATTCCATATCGTAAATAACGCGAGTGTGACGCGTCACGGGACCGCGGTCCTCACCGCGTCACAACGCGTCACGGGACCACCGCATTCCACTCCGGTCCCCGGGCCCGGTCACCGCATTCCACTAAAGGTCTGGGTCCTGTTATGGGTACTACATCTCACTCCGGGCATGGATTCTGGTCTGGACAGCAGATTCGCTCCTACCCCAGAGGTCTGGTGACTGGTCCCGGGGGTACACCGACGGTACCGATACCAAGTCTGGTCCGGGTGGTACTCTTCCAGTACCGCGGGTACGAAGGTGCACTGTCACCGCCTGTCGCATGCGTGCAAAGAAAGCCGCGCAGCATTGTCAAAACACCATGTATTTTCCGGGGTTTAGTTGGGTTCCGCTGCCCGGGTTATCTGTCGCCGAGTGGAGGCATTATGCAGAGCACCGCCCCCGCCTGCTGACGGCCGCTGGGGAACTGAGTGTTTACTGGCCGGTCCCGTGACACCCTGCCCCTCATAGTTGCGGCCACTCGTCGCCGACCGAGACCAGATGCAATAACGGCCAGGTCAGCCGCCACGGTCAGGCCTGGGGTGGTTGGTGCGGCGGGGAGGCCGGGGAAACGGGAGAGGCAGGGGGCGAGGCCGGGAAACGGGAGAGGCAGGGAGCGAGGCTGGGAAACGGGAGAAGCTACTGATGAACAGTTGGGAGATTGTTTTTTTTTCTGAGGAACGACAGTAAGAAGAGGGGTTTAAGAATGGCGGGAACGGGGGTTTTGCTGAGCAACTGGGAACGGGAGAGGTTGCCGGGGAACGGCCGGGAAACAGTCACCTTCTCCCTGGGAAACCTTCAACCCTGGCTCCTCCGGAGCAAATGTCACAGATGAGGACAGCGCTAATGTTACTGAGAAGCGGAAGGGAGACGATGCACTGGACGCACAGTAAGACGAGTGACTCGCAGAGGGGTAGGCGGCTAACGGGGCAGGCTGCGCGGCAGAGGAGACGACTGAGCTAGCGCGTAGACTGGACTCGTCGGGTAATTCGCTGTCGGGGTGACGCCCTCGAACGCCAGGGTCCCTCCTCTGTGTCGGCCCCGGTCGGTTCTGGCGGCTACAGCCGGGTCTCGGCGCCGGTCGGGCCGCAGCTGCCGGCTCTGCTCAGTCCTCCCGCTCCGCCGTCTCCGGCTGGCCCTCGGCCGGGCCGACGATGTCCAGCAGCCGGAGGTAGGTGATCTTTTTGACCTCCTCCAGGCCGGTGCGCAGTTCCTCGTCCTCGTCATTTCGCAGCCGCTCCTCGAGCCCGCTCAGGATGGCCGCCTTCTTGTTCTGGCGCGCGCACACGACGAACGGAAAGCCGAACTTGGCCTTGTACCTGCCGGCAGCGGACGGGCGCAGGGTCACACTACGATCAAGGTGAAGAGAACCAAGCTCAGCTCAGCAGGTCAACTCATCTGAGCACGACACGCAGGTGGCTCACAGATTATTTCCAAATCGGCGCATCTGTTGAAGGGAGCGTCAGTTTTTAATTTGCGTCGTGAGCGAACAGTACAGATCATGTCAGACGTTTCCTTCCCTCCGCTCCCATTCTTGGTGACTGTTCTCTCTCCCTCCCATTTGTAGGGATTGTTCGCTCTCCCCTCCCAGCGCGACTGGCGGTCGACTGTCCCTCCGCGCCGCTCCGCCGAGGTTTCACGGTACGGTCAGCGCCGGACTCGGTCGGTCCGCCGGGACACACGGCGGTCACGGTCACGGAGTCGGCGGTCACGGACGGAGGCGACCACACAATGCCGTGCGGCGGCGACTGGGCTGACCGAGACCGCTAGCCCGGCCTGTCGAGGCGCTGGTTGGCTGTGGCGTGGGGCAGTTAAGGATGGTTGTCTGGTGGCTCCTGGGCACCAGGTGGCCGTGGTGTAGCCTGTAGGACGGGTTACGGATGGTGGCCGTAGTGGAGCACGGGTTACGGGTGGCGGCTGTGGTTTGGGACGGGTTACGGATGGTGGCTGTAGTGTGGGACGGGATACGGATGGTGGCTGTAGTGTGGGACGGGATACGGATGGTGGCCGTAGGGTATGACGGGTTACGGATGGTGGTTGTGGTTTGGGACGGTTACAGATGGTGGCCGTAGGGTATGACGGGTTACGGATGGTGGCTGTGGTGTGGGACGGTTACAGCTGGTTGTCTGACGGCTCCCCGTCGACCGGGCCGACTCTGTTTGTCCGATGGGATGACGTGATTGTCTGATTTCGGCCTTGGCGTGCCGTTTGTGTGTCGCACAGGACGTCCGGCCCCGATAGCAGCTCACTGGCCCGTCACGGACTTACTGATGTTTTGGGAGCAGCGGAGCCGCCGTAGCATTACGAACTGAGCCAATGGATCTGATTTCACTGTGCCCCATAATGATCTATCCTCCCGCACCGGACTGCCCCGCCGACCTCTGGTTCTGGTCGGTGACCCCGCTGACCTCTGGTTCTGGTCGGTGACCCCGCTGACCTCTGGTTCTGGTCGGTGACCCCGCTGACCTCTGGTTCTGGTCGGTGACCCCGCTGACCTCTGTTTGTGGTCGGTGACCCAGCTGACCTGTGGTTCTGGTCGGGGACCCGGTGACCCCGCTGACCTGTGGTTATGGTCGGTGACCCCGCTGACCTGTGGTTATGGTCGGTGACCCCGCTGACCTGTGGTTCTGGTCGGTGAGCTGTTGTCGCTCCTCCTCGGTCAGCTCAGTCAGCCCGGCACTGCGCTGCTCCCCGGCTGATTCTGACGTCAGCGTGCCCTGCTGAGCCACCCGGCCGGCCAGGTCGGGGTGCACCCGCAGCACCGCCTGACGACCTGTGAGGTCACGGGGAGGTCACAGGTCGGGGTGCACCCACAGCACGGCCCGACGACCTGTGAGGTCACAGAGAGGTCACAAAGAGGGCAGCTGCCCACCGCACGGCCCGCCGACCTGTGAGGTCACAGGGAGGGTACACAGGTCAGGCCTCAGGCCTCGATGCGTGACTGGTGAATAAATACGTTCCAGACGATTGAATTGTCCATGGGTAGTGGACAGAGAAGAACAGTGGGCTCTCCCAGTTTTCACCCTACAGCTCAGACTCATTTTCATCTGACTATGGTAGGTCGACCTATTACCTTCCCGGCATAGGGCGACGAGCGGCTCCACTGTGACAGGACAGCAATGATCTCACGAGCCGCTCCACCGTGACAGGGCAGCAATGATCTCACGAGCTGGTCCACTGTGACAGGGCAGCAATGATCTCACGAGCTGGTCCACTGCGACAGGACAGCAATGATCTTACCGTGATCTCGTCATCCATTGTTACGGTAGTATGGTGGCGAGCCGATAATAGCCTGCCTTCAGCGAAGAAACGGTGGGTGGCCGTCCCTCCACCGTGTGAGAACGCCGTGCCCTCTCACCTTGTATCTTCTCTCACAGAGTGAGCGTCCCGTTCTCACCGTGATGGGGCAGCGAGTCGAGGAAGATGCTCACACAGGACATATTCCTCTCACCGTGGTAGTCCTCTCTCACAATGACGCATGACTTACTCCTCGCACCGTGGTAGGTCCTCTCACACTGACACAGGACGTACTCCCTGTGTAGCCTGTGGATGCCCCCCCCCCCTCTCACCGTGGTAGGGCAGCGAGTCGAGGAAGGTGCTGACACACTCGTGGATGTCGTTGACGTCAGAGAAGGGTCGGCTGGCCCAGATGGCGCCGGCCGCCAGCGGGCAGTGCTCCACGACGTTACCGAACCTACAACAACAACAACAACAACAACAACAACAACAACAACAACAACAACAGCAACATCCAACGGGGCGCCGGCCGCCAGCGGACAGTGCTCCACCACGTTACCAAACCTACAACAACAATAACAACAACAACAACAACAGCAACATCCAACGGGGCGCCGGCCGCCAGCGGACAGTGCTCCACCACGTTACCAAACCTACAACAACAATAACAACAACAACAACAACAGCAACATCCAACGGGGCGCCGGCCGCCAGCGGACAGTGCTCCACCACGTTACCAAACCTACAACAACAATAACAACAACAACAACAACAACAACAACAACAACAACAACAACAACAACAACATCCAACGCGGCGCCGGCCGCCAGCGGGCAGTGCTCCACCACGTTACCGAACCTACAACAACAACAACATCCAACGCGGCGCCGGCCGCCAGCAGGCAGTGCTCCACCACGTTACCGAACCTACAACAACAAAAACAAACGTGGTGCGCGGTCATGTCCGTCAAGACAGCCCATATTCAGCCCATATTCAGCCCGGATTCAGCCCAGATTCGGGACACCTCCGATCAAGCTGAAACTCGCACACAATGTAGGCGAATGACTCGGACTGTGGATTGGGCATGTCAGGACCTACATTGTGTGCGAGTTTCAGCTTGATCGGAGGTGTCCCGAATCTGGGCTGAATCCGGGCTGTATGGAGTGTCGTTTATTTGTACATTTTGCCCTGCCGAGGTCAAACGGGGTTTCATATCGAGAAGCAGTTTTTAAGGAAAGTTACTTCGGCCTATGGGCTACCCGATGATGTGCTTTGATTTGGAATTCGGTCAATCCCTCTACTCGAAAACTGCTGTGGAAGTGTATTTTCGACATAGTCCACAAATGACCTTAGGTCATCGCATGACCTTGAGAGGTCAAATGGGTGTTGAGAAAGTAAGATTAGATGCTGGCGAGTCGATTGGTACCATTTTTAGCGCTCAATCTCTTCTGGGTGGGCCACAATCTGCTGTGCAAATTTCGGCCACGCGACCTTTGCTGACCTCTGGAGGTCAAACGGCTGGGAGTGCCACTGAATGACTCGGACTGTGGATTGGGCATGTCAGGACCTACATTGTGTGCGAGTTTTAGCTTGATCGGAGGTGTCCCGAATCTGGGCTGAATCCGGGCTGAATCTGGGCTGAATATGGGCATTGGGCTGTCTTGACGGACATGTGCGCGGTCACCCACTGTTACAGGTTACAGAACCTGGCGCACAGCAATACACGGTTACAGAACCTGGTGTACGAGCACGCCTTACGAAAATTACGTCAATGCAGGATGCCTATTTCTGCGTGTCTTGGCTGAACTATGTGGTGCCTACAACACAACGGACTCAAGCCGGCTGGCTCACCTCTCGATGAACTGCTCGAAGTCCATCTGGTTCACATCTGCCATGGTGATCATGTCTCCGGTCTGGTTAGGTGGCCCGATGGCGCCCTGGGCTCGGTCTCCAGTCAGTTCAGCTCGCTCTCACAGGCTCCGGCTGCTCCGCTCCTGGCTCCCTCCCGCTCCGGCTGCTCCGCTCCTGGCTCCCTCCCGCTCCGGCCGGTTACAGCGGCCCGCCCCTCCGTCACCGGCAGTTCCGCCGTCCTCCGTTCACCGGCTGTTCAGCTCTGAGTCACTGTGAGCTCCTTCAGTCCCGTTCGTCACTGCTCTGGACCGAGCCGTGTCCGTCGGTCGGCGGACGGGTCACACCGGCCGCTGCGCCGCCTCCTCACTGTGTGTGCCGCGCGGCCACCGCTCGCCGCGCCCGGTACACCGGTCAGGTCGGACGGACGGTCTGCCGGCGGCGGTACCCGGCGGCCACTGGCGGCGGCGCGACGATCTGTCGGCGACTGGCGGCGGTCCGCGGCACAGGCACGGAGCGACGCCTCCCAGGAGCCAGTCGCACGGCCAGCCAGCGCCGCCTCCTGGCCCCGTCCCACCACGGTCAGGGGTATAGGACAGTCGCCCGCGGTCCGTCTGGTCGGGCACGGTCCGAGCCCTATCGCCCTGTTTAGATAGGCCACCCTTTGTTTATGCTCTGGCGTCGCCGGGCTGACCTTGGTCGGGTATGGACAAACAGACGTAAAAATGGGACCGATACCGGCCGTCGTATCATAAATGTGCCATGCACATCAGAATACTGCTCTTCTTTGCTTTTTTTCTTTGATTCCGCTCACACTTTTTTCTTTTTACCAAGCGTCACCAATTTTACAAATTCACCCGTCCTTGGTAGTTCAATTAATTAAAGGGACCCTCCCACCTTAACATTAGTTTTGAGTTGAGATAGCCAAGTTTGCGGCCAGGCTCAGAAACCACCATTTATCCTGGTCGTAACCCCCGCAGCTTTATGGTGTTCAAGAAATTTCTTCCCTTTACTTGCAGGGTGGGACCAGCGTGGTCCCTATCTCTTAACCATTACGGGAATCTGATGACGTCATCAGGCTTTCGAGCGTCCGTTAAATGTTTGACTAAGACGTTTTGTAGCACGCGGTGGTATATGCTGCTTTGCGCGCAACAAATGCCGCACTTTCAAATAAAGTCGCTAGGAACAGCGGAGATCCCAAAAAGTAAACAAAAGTAAAAGTCTAATATCTTGAAAACCGGTGAATATTTTTCGATGAAATTTGGTAGATATTCGTTTTTGCTCTTTCTGAACCGAGCGACATCACTTTCATGCCAATTCATTAACTTTTTTGAAGGTGGGAGGGTCCCTTTAAGCATTGGGCTTGGCTCAGCACATTGAACAGCTCAGCACATTTTGTTATAGTTATGTGTGAAAAAGAAGGTTGTGAAGTCGGTTTCCGTTGTATTCGGTCACTAGGTGCTTTCCTAAAGCATTGTTTCAAGTTCCTGTTCTTTTAAAGTACCCTGGAGAACGAAATGCCCCACTACTACCATAAAGCATCAGATGCATCGGAACATTGGTACACAAGCATGAAAATAAGGCACTGTTTGCCAGGTTTAAATCTTAAATAAGCGTTTCAAACCACCCGAAGCGTTAGTGTCACATAGCCGTCACATTGGGATTAGCTCGAATGCACCGCTCAGCCCTCGAGCAGCTGATATTGTGACACGAAAATCCCCAGGCCAACCCCGAGTGGCAGTCGCATAATATTCAATCCCAACACCCTAACAGCCTTCTAGCAGGGCCAAAGCGCCACGGGTATGCACGGTTAACTACCACGTCGCCCTAGCAAAAATACTTGGCTTAGGCGTGGCGTAACACTCTCAGGAGCCCACTTCTGTTGAAATCTAACTACGCTGACCAAAGTGATGTGCTGCTCTCATTCTCGCCAGTTCCCTGCGCCCCGGAACGGAAAGGCTTCTCTCCAGCAGGCCGCACGGAAGACGCTTTTTTCTACGTGGTGTCCTGTCTCTAGGCTCTGGCTACTATCTACAAGTACTGGTCAGTGCGAGAGTGCCAGGGTCTGTCCGTGGTGAGCCCAGGTCGACTGTGGCGAGCCGGCGGGTTCACGTTTTGCGGTAGTGTTTTTCGATGGCGCGCTCTATGTCGCACATGCCGGCCAGGAGCTGTTCCTCCATCCAGGGCAGGGCGGCCACCTGGACGCCGAGAGGCTGGCCCAGCGCGCCGCGGGACGCCTGTGGATAGACAAAGGTACTCAGTACAGTACTTAGTACTCGGTACCGACGGCTGGCCCAGCGCGCCGCGGGACGCCTGCAGACACAGAAACAGACAGCGCGGTGTCTGCAGCGCTGACAGCCCGCTGCAGCTGGCGACTCACTACCAAGTGCTGACGGCTGGCCCTTCAAAACTGCCGCAGTATACCACACTGTATGCAGCGCGTCCAAAAGACGATGAACTTCGCCGCCAGACTTGTGACCGGGACGCGACGGTCCGAGCATATATCGCCGGCGTTGGAGTCGCTTGGTTGGGAGAGGGTGGATGTGATGCTGCGACGCCATGATCATGTTCACATCCAGAGAGCCCTGTATAATGACCAATGTCCCCCAGCGATGTCGGCCATGTTCACCCGCCGGGCCGAAGTGTCGTCACGTGACACTCGCGGGTGCGTATTATTTAGGCCAGGGTTCATAATGTCCAGGGCATGATGTGTCCAGTGCTCGAAATGGCCAGTGCCTTGAATTGGCCAGTGTTCATATTGTCCAGGGATTACATGGTCCAAATGTGGCCAACTGGCTGCAGATAGGGTAAATTCAAAGAGACCAGGGTTCATAATGTCCAGGGCACGATGTGTCCAGTGCTCGAAATGGCCAGGGTTCATAATGTCCAGGGCACGATGTGTCCAGTGTTCGAAATGGCCAGGGTTCATAATGTCCAGGGCACGATATGTCCAGTGTTCAAAATGGCCAGTGCCTTGAATGGGCCAGAGTTCATAGTGTCCAGGGATTACATAGTCCACCCAACCCAACCAAACCTAACCTATCCTAACCTAACCTAACCTAACCTAACCTAACCTAACCTAACCTAACCTAACCTAACCTAACCTAACCTAAGGTAATGATGTTTGCCTACCGGGGATAAGGAAATAGTTTCTCGCATGAATAGATTGCAAGCAATAGTAAATCAAATATTTTTAGGTTAAGTGGTTATGCATCAGGCTTCAGGCCTTCGGCCTGAAGCCAGATACATAACCACTTAACCTAAAAATATTTGATTTACTATTGCCTGTAATCTCTCCTAAGGCATTGCCTTCGGCACTGCACTGCTTCGCATTGAGCTGGTTCCGTGTTTTTTACATAATGACGTCACTTTCAGTGACTATGTAATCCCTGGACACTGTGAACTCTGGCCTATTCAAGGCACTGGCCATTTTGAACACTGGACACATCGTGCCCTGGACATTATGAACTCTGGCCATTTTGAACACTGGACACATCGTGCCCTGGACATTATGAACCCTGGCCATTTCGAACACTGGACACATCGTGCCCTGGACATTATGAACCCTGGCCTCTTTGAATATACCCTATCTGCAGCCAGTTGGCCGCATTTGGGCCATGCAATCCCTGGACATTATGAACTCTGGCCCATTTAAGGCACTGGCCATTTCGACACTGGGCATAACGTACCCTGGACATTATGAACCCTGGCCAGAATGAATGCTCCCCGACACTCGCGCGGTAGCAGCCGGAAAGTTGCAACTCCCGAAGGCTCGCAAGAACTCAGCGGGAGTTTGCATATAGAGCGGCAGCATCGTGGAATGCGAAGGACACCGCCACAGGCACCTGATTTTAGAATGTCAACCTGCTGATGTCAACTTCCTACATGCGGATGATGCGTTCGCGAGTGTTTTAATGTAATCGTCGATGTGTTTTAACGTTGCTTTTGCCATTGTATCAGTATCATATATTTTTAATTGGGTCTCATTTAGCTCCTATGTCACCATGTCACATTCCTGACCGGATTCTTAATACCCACCCCGTGGAAGAATTCTAATAAATGACTTTGACTTTGACTTTGACTGTAGCACGGTCCGCCCGGGTGTCCACACCACCGGGCCGCGCTCTGAGAGCTGCCGGTACTCACGTCCTTGAACCATTGGAGCTCGACGCTGGGAGTGGGGTAGTGCTCGAGCGCGGCCTGGTCCTCCTCCGTCTCCCTGTCTACCGTCAGGATCCCCGCCGGGAAGTTCAGCAGGTTCATCAGCATCGTGTACAGGCCGCCCACTGCGGGAGGTCAGGACACAAACCCCGGGTAAATCGCCAGTACCGGTGGAGGCTCGGGGCGGTGGATGCACCAGTCGGGACTACACCGTCACCACACCGCACTACTCGGCAGGGGCGTTGACGTGAAATTACAACGAATTTAACGGTCGGGATGGAGCATTGCGATTCATGGTCTCTTAGCTCACTGAGAAGACATGGAAGCGGGAGAAGCACGGCCAATGAGTTGGCGATCGTAAGCGGGTTGAATGCCAATCTGCTCTGAAAACTCTCCTCCTTCCAGCGCTATCAAACATGGAGCAGATGGAGTTCTCACTCCGCTGTTTTCCGCGATTGGACACAGCGTGCCCACCAGTTTTACTGCGCCCTGCCCCATGAAGCTCACCTATCAGCTCTGCCACCTTGTCGCGGGGCGGCGGCGGGCAGGCGAAGCCGGGCAGCAGCAGCAGGTCGAGGCGCGCCGCGCGCCACCTGGTGACGGTGCGCTGCACGTACTGGTCCCGGGCGGCGCGCAACACCACCGCCTGCTCCGGGTCGGCCGTCCATGCTGAGGGCGCACGGACGAGCAGATGGCGTCAGACGCGGGAGACAGACGCGAGGAACTCATACCGAACAGGAGAGATCAGGGGGAGACTGTGGCGTCATACAACACCGGATACAGAGGGAGCTATTCTCCGGAACGGAGACGGGACGTAACGGGAATATACTGCGGCGGAGAGAAACAATACTTTCAGTTTGATGATTATTTGGAGTTCAAACATGATTGCACAGTGCCATTAGCACACAAACACGCAGTACCTACATTTCCTATATGTACGCGGGTACTCAAACGAGCGATTAGCTAACTCTCTGTGCGAGTCAGTCCATTGCAGTCCGCGATGGCGCGAGCTAACCTTTGAGGCGGCTGCTGGCGAACCGGTACCGGCTGCCGAGGACCCAGCTGATGAGAGGCCGCACCCAGGTGGGCAGCTTCATGCCGTTAGCCAGGTCGGCCACGGACACATCCAGGACCTCGTTCTCACTGTCGGGCGGCGCAGTGGCGTTAGTGGCGTTGGTATACGGATTTTCCATCGGGGGTAATATATAACACATTCGTGGATATTGCATCTCGGAAACATTTGCTTCGATAGTCACCGTTCGAAAGTGCTTTAACGCAAAGGACAAGTAAACCCTGCAGGAAGCAGTGGCCCTCCCGTTCGGCACACAGTGCGCAGCTGAGTCGATACCGTCTGTCCCCGGGCCGGGTCGGGCCGGACTCACAGTGCCCTGCCCAGGAAGGCGCCGTTGTCCGGCAGCGCCTGCTGCAAGAAAAGCTGCAGCTCGGCCGGGCCGCAGTCGAGCTGGAAGGGCACCAGCTCCATGCCGGCCGCCTCCAGCGCCGACACCGTCTCGGTGAGCACGCGCCGCACGCCGGGCGTCACCGGACAGAACGGCAGCTCCGACAGGTAGCCCACGCGCCACGGACGGCCCGCAGACTCCAGCTGTGAGGGACGGGTACATAGTCTGGTCAGGGCAGCTCCGACAGGTAGCCCACGCGCCACGGACGACCCGCAGACTCCAGCTGTGAGGGACGGGTACATAGTCTGGTCAGGGCAGCTCCGACAGGTAGCCCACGCGCCACGGACGGCCCGCAGACTCCAGCTGTGAGGGACGGGTACATAGTCTGGTCAGGACAGCTCCGACAGGTAGCCCACGCGCCACGGACGGCCCGCAGACTCCAGCTGTGAGGGACGGGTACATAGTCTGGTCAGGACAGCTCCGACAGGTAGCCCACGCGCCACGGACGGCCCGCAGACTCCAGCTGTGAGGGACGGGTACATAGTCTGGTCAGGACAGCTCCGACAGGTAGCCCACGCGCCACGGACGGCCCGCAGACTCCAGCTGTGAGGGACGGGGTACATAGTCTGGTCAGGACAGCTCCGACAGGTAGCCCACGCGCCACGGACGGCCCGCAGACTCCAGCTGTGAGGGACGGGTACATAGTCTGGTCAGGGCAGCTCCGACAGGTAGCCCACGCGCCACGGACGGCCCGCAGACTCCAGCTGTGAGGGACGGGGTACATAGTCTGGTCAGGGCAGCTCCGACAGGTAGCCCACGCGCCACGGACGGCCCGCAGACTCCAGCTGTGAGGGACGGCGGGTACATAGTCTGGTCAGGGCAGCTCCGACAGGTAGCCCACGCGCCACGGACGGCCCGCAGACTCCAGCTGTGAGGGACGGGTACATAGTCTGGTCAGGGCAGCTCCGACAGGTAGCCCACGCGCCACGGACGGCCCGCAGACTCCAGCTGTGAGGGACGGGTACATAGTCTGGTCAGGGCAGCTCCGACAGGTAGCCCACGCGCCACGGACGGCCCGCAGACTCCAGCTGTGAGGGACGGGTACATAGTCTGGTCAGGACACTGCTCCGACAGGTAGCCCACGCGCCACGGACGGCCCGCAGACTCCATCTGTAAAGGACGGGGCCAGGCGACATCAAGAGACCCAATGCAAGAGAACTGACGAGACTCGCCACAATTTAAAACATCACCTGAGCGGCGGAGTAGGAACGAAAGTCATGCAGCTCTGATTCCACAGTGTAATGGGGATTAATATTATTCACTGTTGGGATAGGCTCAGAAACAGACTCACTCAGCTCTTCAATGCGACTCCTAGTTAATGTGTATGCGTACCGATTCGTTCCAGAGGACCCTGGGCAGCAGCGGGTCCAGTCGGTACATGTCGGCGCCGGGCAGCGGCGTGGTGATGAGACGCAGCACGCGCCGCACGTCGGACGGCTCGCGGGCCAGGAAGCCCAGCGTCGGCAGCACTGCGGACGGGCGAAACCATACTCGTAGTTATTTGCTCAGGACAGGTTACAAGAGCAAAATAATGGTGAAATTCTACTGCTGTTGGAGGACATGATTTCAACCACCTTTTGTGAGCGGCACATCACATTACTCACCTCCAGTGCACGCCGGCATAAAACTGGTCTCGCCCACCGAACTGTTGGAAAAGAAGACAAATATTAGGCATTGTGGATATGGCGGAGAATGATAACTCCAGCAATCCAATTTGGTCTTATTGCAGTCCTGTTGACAAAACTTGCGACGAAAACAGTTCATTGTGATCCAATTCCCAATTCCTCTCTCAATACCCGGTCCACTCCGAGTAACAAAGACCACACTCATCCAGAGCTAACACAAATTGGACCAGAGGCATGTACCAAGGACCGGCGATCAGTGACACGTGTCGGAGCCGGCACTGTCGGATCTGACCGGTCCCCGGCCGTACCTGACGCGTCCGCAGGTGGGCTTGAAGCCGCAGCAGCCGCTGAAGAGCGCCGGCACGCGCGCGCTGCCGCCAATGTCGGAGCCCAGGCCGAGCGGCGAGCCGCCGGCGGCCACCAGGACGGCCTCGCCGCCCGACGAGCCGCCCGGCACCCGCGCCGGATCACGGATGTTGGTCGTGACGCCCCACACCGGGTTACTGCAGCCGAAACTGGCAGACAGATGGAGCTCATATGAAAATATTGCAACGACGTCAAGGCTTGGTTCTGAAATATTCATAGCGAGGGTCATAAAAAGCGAGCGTGATGCAATGAAGCGAATCTTGCAAGCTGCTTTGGCAGGCAAGATGGATAAATAAGTCCATGCCAAAGATGAAATTTCCCAGCACAAGATGTTCATGACACATTGGTATTTCCTTTTCAATCCGTTCTAGCGACCCAGACTTACGTTGTTTGTGCCAGAATATCGAATATCTTTAGCTCTTCACATCATCAGCAGTAGCACACCTTACCTCATCAGAGTCTGCGGCACGTTGGTCTTGCAGAACGGCACTGCGCCCAGGTCAATGAGCGTCTGCACTAGCGGCGCGTTACTGGCGGCCGGCCTGTCCAGGTACTTGGCCAGCCCGAGCGTCGAGTCGAACCCCTCCAGGTCTATGGAGTCCTTGACGCTGATGGGTACGCCGTGCAGCGGGCCTCGCTTGGACTCTGGCAGGGCGTCCAGTGCCGCCACCCGCTCCTGTCGGCGGCGGCACAGGCTGAGAGGCTGGGCACTCTGGCGGTGCTCTGTGTGACTGATGAAATTCGAGAGGCTCACAGGGACGACGTTTATAACAGCGACCAATGAATTGGTTGATAGCGTTCCGAGCTCGAACTAAGCCGGCATTCAGAAGCATTCGATCCCCGTCAATTGTATCTGAACTGAAAAAGCTGAACTCATTTCGAATGCCCCGTTTCCTCCGTCACGGTTCTTACCTCAGCGGTTGTCACAAACTCGGTGATGCAGTTGTACTGCTCCGTGAGTTCCATGGCCTGTAACATACAGCTCAATGGTTGCCGGCACGGTCAAACTGCGCCAATCAGCCAACATACAGGCAGCTTTGCCTGGCAAACAACACATGGCCACGGAGGTCGGAGGATATGCATCGATCTGAGGCCATAATATACAAAGTTACAGACTATGCGCCTGTCGATGGCGCAGCTAGCTGTCGCAGGAGTGGGAACATTTGTAACGAGCATAGCCGACCGCTGGAGCACCGGCAGCACCCTGACTGTCCCATTATTTCACCTTGGCCCGATAGGGCCGGTAAGAACAATCCTGATTGTCCCTCCTTGGCCCGGTATAATCCCAGCTGTCCCACCTTGGCTCGATAGGCCCGGTACAATCCTGATTGTTCCACCTTGCCCGATACAATGCCAACTGTCCAACTGTCCCACCTTACCTGGTACAATCCTAACTGTCCCAACTGTCCCACCTTGGCCTGGTAGGCCCGGCACCATCCTGACTGTCCCACCTTGGCCCGGTACAATCCCAACTATCCCACCTTGGCCCGGCACCATCCCAACTGTCCCCACCTTGACCCGGTACAATCCCAACTATCCCACCTTGGCCCGGCACCATCCCAACTGTCCCCACCTTGACCCGGTACAATCCCAACTCAATCCCACCTTGGCCCGGCACCATCCCAACTGTCCCCACCTTGACCCGGTACAATCCCAACTATCCCACCTTGGCCCGGCACCATCCCAACTGTCCCCACCTTGACCCGGTACAATCCCAACTATCCCACCTTGGCCCGGCACCATCCCAACTGTCCCCACCTTGACCCGGTACAATCCCAACTATCCCACCTTGGCCCGGCACCATCCCAACTGTCCCCACCTTGACCCGGTACAATCCCAACTATCCCACCTTGGCCCGGCACCATCCCAACTGTCCCCACCTTGACCCGGTACAATCCCAACTATCCCACCTTGGCCCGGCACCATCCCAACTGTCCCCACCTTGACCCGGTACAATCCCAACTCAATCCCACCTTGGCCCGGCACCATCCCAACTGTCCCCACCTTGACCCGGTACAATCCCAACTATCCCACCTTGGCCCGGCACCATCCCAACTGTCCCCACCTTGACCCGGTACAATCCCAACTCAATCCCACCTTGGCCCGGCACCATCCCAACTGTCCCCACCTTGACCCGGTACCATCCCAACTGTCCACGTGCCCCACCTTGGCCTGGTAGGCCCGCAGCGCCTCTGTGGCGGTGATTTTGCCGCTCTGCAGCTGCTCGATGAGCTGGGCCAGCGGCAGCTCCACAATCAGCTGGCGCTGCACGGTCATCAGCTGACCGCCGGCAGTCAGCTGTTGGGTCAGCAGCTGCCGCCGGTGACGCTCCAGGTCCAGCCGGCGCCGCACCCGCTCATAGTACTCGGACTGCAAAACGGTCAGGAAACGTGGGCCGCTGAAATCGCGAACCGGCCGCGAGCGAACATTGTATCAACAATTTCAGAGAAAACAAGCATCACATGAAGTTCCAGAGCCGTTCATCGTTGACAAAACCGCTGAACGTTACTGGAGCCCGCGCTCCGCCGGTGCATACCAGCGGTCGATTGTGCCTTGCATTTACTGAGCAGCCCCTGGCGAGGTAACAGGGGGGGGGGGGGCGACATATCTAAACCCTCACCTTGACGGAGCAGCTCCCGAGGTCCCTCACCTTTACCGAGCAGCCCCTGGTCACTGATCAGGGTCCGAGGTCCCTCACCTGTACCGAGCAGCTCCCGAGGTCCCTCACCTTCACCGAGCAGCCCCTGGTCACTGGTCAGGGTCCGAGGTCACTCACCTTTACCGAGCAGCTCCCGAGGTCCCTCACCTTCACCGAGCAGCCCCTGGTCATGTACCAGAGGAGGGCGGCGGCGGAGGCGGCGGTGGCCCCGGCCGCTCCCAGCGTCCACCGGTCCAGGTCGCCGGTCGACAGCAGCCACTGGCGCGTCCCCATCCTTAGCTGTGGCGGTCAGCAGGAGCTGTAACCAGTACGGACCGGCTGCTGTACCACAGCGCAGTACCACACAGTAAAATAGGGCGCTGTCAGCACAGTACCAGCTCAGCACAGCAGACTTCTCGGGCCGGGCGCCGGCCTGCGACTGGTGCGGCGCCGTCGTCCGCGCCCCTGCAGCCCCCGCTGCCTGTGCCGCCTGCGTCAGTGAGGACGGCCCCGCTACCCGTATCGGCCATGTGATCGGTGGCGCACTGTGTACCAATCGGGGGCCAGTCAGCACTGCAGGAGGGGCGGGGGGGGGGGGGGTGAGCAGACGGACGATCCATTCACACGCGTTCCGCGCGTCAGGTCATCGGGACAGCATTGGTGCCACACGTGACAAATGTGTGTTAAATTCACGCGCGGCTCCCCGGAAAATTACCTATGGAGTTCAACACTGTAAAACTAGCATTGACCGAGTCACCTGGCTACTTTTCAGCAGGGAATCAGCATACAGTTTATTAATGTGTGGACGTGGACTGTCTCCCTCTCCCCGAGACCCCCTCCGCCCATTTCCTGGGTGCGCCTGTCCGCCCGGCAGCCCCCCCCCCCCCCCCCCGGCCGTGGGCTGCAGCTCCGGCCGGCCGGCTCAGGGGCGCGACTGGGGCAATGCTGTTTAGATGGCCATATGCAGGCCGTCTATTTATAGGTGACATACAGCCGACCTTTGCCGACTGAGAGAGCGCGTCTGCCGGCCGTGCAGGCGGCTCCGAACTCCGCGGTCAGATCCCACCGAGTAATGCTGCTCATTGCCAGTCATGAGCGGCCCCTGCCCCCCGGCAACAGGTGACCTTGTACATACGAGCGGCCCACTCCGTAATGGACGCTCAGGAATTGCACGATCATGTGTTGCTCCGTCACGACCATGCCTGTATCTAAGAGAGTGGAGCGTTGGTTGTAGTTTGCCTTTGCGTGTGATTCAAAAGGCGTTCGAGGAGTCACTACCAGTTGTTCATTATTTCACTATTGCGTCGCCAAAAAGTGTAACGTTATTGAGTCCGCCAAAGTTTATTGATTGCAATTAAATACACGATACCGTCACCGTCCTTCAAAAAACAAACAGCCGCAGTGCTGCTAGCCACATACCAAAACTGTCGACTATGGTAACAACTAACAAGCTGCTGTTTAAAACAGCCATAAAACACTGCGGAATATCATATGAGGTCAGCTGCCACAGCCCGGCGCGTATACCGTGTACCCTGTACCGTACCAACCAGGCAGCTCTGTCCCCCCGGACGGGGTACCGCCAGGTCACGGAGCGACACTGGGTGTCCGCTCCAGCGGCCGTACCAACCGGGCAGCTTTGTGCCCCTCAGACGGGGTACCGCCAGGCTACTGAGCGACACTGGGTGTCCGCTCCTTCAGATCTCCAGTAAACAGAAGGCGAGCCGTCACACATGCGCTAAATGGATACATGGCACAGCTCCTTCACCCTCACCGTAACAAACAGTATAATTATCAGAACGTTGCAGATCTATAGTAAATAACAACACACAAGCCCATTACTGCATGCATACGATTTATAAAATACCTTCCAGACTCGAATGATCTCACTTAACTTACATCAGATCATCACTCTTTCATGGTTCGCGCCAAAACTACCCAGCGCGCTCCTCAGAATGTGAAATATCTATCATCAGATCTACTATCAGAACTATCGGTTTGTTATCTATGCTCTGAACTACTTCCTTTTTGATTGACATCTCCACACAGATCTCTCGACGACCTCACGAGACGGCTGACGAAAATCGTTTACCGTTGACGTGCCTGTGGCGGGGGCGGCGGGTTCACGTTTTGCGGTAGTGTTTTTCGATGGTTCGCTCTATGTCGCACATGCCGGCCAGGAGCTGCTCCTCCATCCAGGGCAGGGCGGCCACCTGGACGCCGAGCGGCTGGCCCAGCGCGCCGCGGGACGCCTGTGGATAAATAGAGAGGTACCTTAGTACCCGATACTGCCGGCTGGCCCAGCGCGCCGCGGGACGCCTGTGGATAGACAGAGGTACTCAGTACAACACTTAGTGCTCAGTACCGAGCGGCTGGCCCAGCGCGCCGCGGGACGCCTGTGGAGAGATAGTGAGGTACTCAGTACAGTACCTAGTACTCGATACTGACGGCTGGCCCAGCGCGCCGCGGGACGCCTGTGGATAAATAGAGAGGTTCTCAGTACAGTACTTAGTACTCGGTACTGACGGCTGGCCCAGCGCGCCGCGGGACGCCTGTGGATAGACAGAGGTACCTTAGTACTCGGTACTGAACTGACGGCTGGCACAGCGCGCCGCGGGACGCCTGTAGAGAGCTAGAGAGGTAACTTAGTACTCGATACTGACGGCTGGCCCAGCGCGCCGCGGGACGCCGCTGGTTGATACAGAGGCACACTACACTATTCGGTACTCGGTACTCACGTCCTTGAACCACTGTAGCTCGACGCTGGGCGTGGGGTAGTGCTCGAGCGCGGCCTGGTCCTCCTCGGTCTCCCTGTCTACCGTCAGGATCCCCGCCGGAAAGTTGAGCAGGTTCATCAGCATCGTGTACAGGCCGCCCACTGCGGGACACACACGCAGCCGGATCAGTCAGTGCGCGGGTTAACGCCAGAGGCAGAAACGATGAACAACGGACAAAAGGTCCGATAAATGAACCAAACGTGAAAAACGCATTCCTCATAACGGAATTCATAACGAAAAATTAAAAGACAACCAAACCAAGACAGAAAAATCAGTAACTTTTTTAAACGCAAGGCCTGGCAATATAAGACATCAAAATAATTACGCAACAAAATCCTGGTTTTATTGTCGGTAGTAGATGGAAAATCTGTCCTATACAGTGCCGGGCGCCGCGGTGGGGCGCCGGGGCCGGTCAGACTCACTGATCAGCTCTGCCACCTTGTCGTGGGGCGGCGGCGGACAGGCGAAGCCGGGCATCAGCAGCAGCTGAACCTGCTGCCGCTCAGCTCGCACGTGCTGCAGCTGGAGGCGCTGCCGAAGCGCTCGGCGTCCGACCCGCCGTCAGCCTCCGAGCGTCAGCTGACCGAGCTGCGAGACAGCCTGCAGGACACGCAGCCGGTGGGCGCGCTGGTGGGCTGCTGCCGCACCGCCGACCAGGTACAAACGGGGCCCGTCCCAGGGGGAAGGGGGCTGCTGCCGCACCGCCGACCAGGTACAAACGGGGCCCGTCCCAGGGTGGGGGGGGGGGGGGGGTGCTGCCGCACCGCCGACCAGGTACGAGTACTGTCTGTCAGAGGGAGGGTGGGGTGGGGGTGGTGGGGCCTGCTGCCGCACCGCCAACCAGGTACGAGCGAACCCGTCCCGAGGGAAAAATGGCTGAAGGAGGTGGTCACCATGCGCGGTGAGATGGAATTCCGCTGAGTGAAGTCCTAACAACGATTTTTTTGTCGTGTAGTATTGTGGATAGTTCGTGTCTGTCGTTCCTGTTCTAAATGCTCCCCTCCACCCGTTACTAAACTCCCGCCCGGTCCCCGGCAGGCCAAGGCGCTGCTCAAGTTTGTGGAGGCCATCAGCGAGAAGCGTCTGCGCTCCACCGTGTCTCTGACGGCCGCCCGGGGCCGCGGAAAGTCGGCCGCGCTCGGGCTGGCCATCGCCGCGGCCGTCGGCTTCCAGTACTCCAACATATTCGTCACCTCGCCGAGTCCCGAGAACCTGAACACCCTGTTCGAGTTCGTGCTGAAGGGCTTCGACGCCATGGACTACCAGGAGCACCTGGACTACGAGCTGATCCAGAGCACCAACCCCGAGTTCAACAAGGCCGTGGTGCGCGTGAACGTCTTCAAGGAGCACCGGCAGACCATCCAGGTAGGGCTGTGTGACCGGTCGGCGCCGGCGCCGACCGGCAGCGGCGGGATGCCAATAAAATATGTGATGGAGCCGCGTCACCAGTGTTCCGAGACTAGCCGAGCTGTTCGGAGGTCTTGTGGACTTGGAGGTGATAACGGGTTACTCATGTAACGCTGAAGTTGCAGTGTGATATTCTGATGGTGTGATCAGACTGACGCCACGGTGAAATGATAATTACGTCACGGTTTCTTGACCCCCCCCCCTGTTCCCAGTACATTCACCCGAGTGACGCGGTGAAGCTGGGCCTCCAGTGACATCCCCCCTGTTCCCAGTACATCCACCCCAGTGACGCGGTGAAGCTGGGCCAGGCCGAGCTGGTGGTGATTGACGAGGCGGCCGCCATTCCGCTACCGCTGGTCAAGGCGCTGCTCGGGCCCTACCTGGTCTTCATGTCTTCCACCATCAACGGGTGAGTGTGGGTGCCGAGTGGGTCGCTCTAGTGATAGACCCAGCCTCTCGAGTGTCTCGATTTTTCCAGCGGCCGTTTGCTAGTTGGCTGAATTTCGCTGGTCGATGGCTCATTTTCTCCGGCCCACTGCGTCTGGCGCACTTGATTCCCTGTCACGTCGCCTGTCACGAGGACGTGGGCCACTCGCTGTCGATTTTAATCCCTCTGTCTCGTCCTCAGGTACGAGGGCACGGGCCGCTCTCTGTCGCTCAAGCTGCTGGAGCAGCTGAGGTCCCAGAGCGGCGCCGGCTCCACCGCCGCCAAGACGGGCGCCGAGGCGCAGAACGCCGGAAGGACCCTGGTTGAGGTGAACAGGGCGGGGCGGGACGAGATGCCGGCGTAGAATCAGTTCGAACGGGACAAGTATGCCGGATCATCCTGTGGTTTGACTCATGCAATATGCATATAAGTGTGGAAATAATAGCGCAGTTTTTCATCCGACTGCAGAGGTGCGCCAGCGGGACGCAGTATAAACGACATGCTCTTTTTAGCCATCTTACCACGAGTAATTATTGTATTTAATAATTGTTCCCATTGGTGCATTAACAAAATAATTGTTTATTTAGTCACACCCGGACGGAGAGCCCATGCCCATTGCCCACGACGGATTCCCCTGCCCTACGGCCGCTTCGCACGTTTCCGTGTCCCTGTTCGAATTGATCATGTTACCCTCCACTCCCAGTGTCTCTGGACGAGTTGATCACGTTTTTCACATTTCCCTCAGTACTGGTGTCCCTGGACGCGCCCATCACGCCTCCCTCGTCCGTCCATTCAGGTGTCGCTGGACGAGTCGATCCGGTACCGGCCCGGCGACCCGATCGAGTCGTGGCTGAACGCGCTGCTCTGTCTGGACGCCAGCGCGGTGCGGCCTCTGAGCACAGGCTGCCCGCCGCCCGAGCACTGCGAGCTCTACTACATCAACCGGGACACGCTCTTCTGCTACCACCGCGCCTCCGAGGCCTTCCTGCAGCGACTCGTCTCGCTCTACGTCGCCTCGCACTACAAGGTGGGCGGCGGGCGCATAGAGCGTGCTGAGAGCTCGGCTTGGCCTGCTGTGTTAGTAGTGGCCAGGTAACCTACCGAAGAAAAATAGGTGTTCAGGAGTAAAGTAGTTAATGTTGTTCAGTCCATGAGCGGGATCTAATTGACGGCTGAGGTATGGTGCTGAGCCTGGGCTGAGATGGGTCATCAGCTGACTGGGCTGTCGTCTGCGCTGTTTCCAGAACACGCCCAACGACCTCCAGATGATGTCTGACGCGCCGGGCCACCACCTGTTCTGTCTGCTGGGGCCCGTGGCGGCCAGCCAGTCGCTCCTGCCAGAAATCCTCTGTGTCATACAGGTGAGAGCGGTCCCCCGCCGGGAGTCAGCTGACCCCCACCGGGGCCCGTGGCGGCCAGCCAGTCGCTGCTGCCCGAGATCCTCTGCGTGATTCAGGTGAGAGAGTGAGCCGACAGACCCCACCGAGGCCCATGGCGGCCAGTCAGTCGCTGCTGCCAGAAATCCTCTGCGTCATTCAGGTGAGAGACGCGGCCCAGCAGCCCCCACCGGGGCCAGCGATCCCCCTGACGGGGGCGTCGGACCACCACTATAATTGCATTGGCTTCAGTACTGTGATAATCAAATTTGCAAGGGTATCATCCGGTGTGGGCATTTAAAAAATGTTGAATAATTTGATGACTGCTGATATGTGTCGCTGTCGCTTGCGTCGCTGTTATCACCCACTTAATAACGCGTGGGCGAGTGTACATACAGTGTCTGGTGTACTGTGCACTGATCAGCATAAATGTGTTGCGCTTCATTGTCTACTTTTGGGCGCGGTATTCGTTTTAACCTTCCAGGCGGTGGGGGGGGGGGGGGCATTTCCCCCCTTTAGTTTTTTATATATCTCGAGAACCGCTGCGCCGATCGTCACCAAACTTTCAGTACCCTCCCGGGAGTAGCTAGCGCACATGGTGACCAAAATTTTTTTCCAAAGGCTATGATAGGTTGGCCGCTAATGACGTCAGAGTAACGTCATTTTTGCCATTTTCGACCCAAAAAAAGGTTTCGCGGGAAGAGCTGTCAGACCTACAGCTTTAGAGATACAGAAAAATGTTCCAGACATAAAAGGTGTGGAATCAAGAGGGCTACAAAACTGCTATTTCGGTTTTTCCATTTTTTTTTTTGGATTTTGACCCCTAAAAATAAAAAATAGATTTTTTGAAAATAATAGCCGAAAAATCAAAAACAAAATTGATATTTAAAAAAAAACCGGAATATATGTGATAGTCCCTACCACATTCTATCTGCATACCAAATTTGAGATCAATACCTCTTTTTTTGGCCAAGTTATAGCGAAAAAAAAAACTGTTCAAAATTGATGACTTCAAACTTTCAAACTCAATTTTTAGCAATTCTAGACCTCGTAGCGCAAAACAAAGACCACCATTAGACTCCCCGTGACGAGCTGCATCGAATCGATACCCATTTTATGCAAAAATATCAACTTTGAAATTTGACCTTTTTTGACCTGACCTTGACCTGACCTCCACCAGAAAGTGACCTAAACCGTACCTTATGGTCTTGTAACCAATACCATTGAGCTGGAAATGAAAAACTGGCCATAAAACATGCATCGCACTACCTTAGTAAAGTTGGGTTCATGTGGTGACCCTTGGTGACCTTTGGTGACCTGACCTGTGACCTGACCTGGTATGACCTAGTGACCTCTAATAGCAACATATGTACTAGACAACTGACGCCTTATCGCTGTTTTTCGACAAAATGCGTTTTACTCGGTGTTATAGCGCATTCCCTAGAAGCCCTGTGAACGGTGAAACATTTTATCTTTGACATGACCTGTGACGTCATCGGTGACCCCGAGGTCAATGAAATTTGGTTTCCCTCGACAAATTTGACGGGCTATCGAACGCCGTTTGAATTTTCCGGATCCGTCCAGTAGTTTCGGAGATACGAGGGGGGGGGGCAAAAAAATGCCCCCCCCCCCCCACCGCGCGGAAGGTGGCTGGCAGGCCCACCGCCTGCCGGGTTAAGTTCGGTTTATTTAGTTTTGGAAAGTAACAAACGGCACAACTCTTTGTCTGTCCAGGTGTGTCTGGAGGGCGAGATATCGAAGACGTCCATCCTGGACGGCCTGTCTCGCGGGAAGCGCGCCGCCGGCGACCTGATCCCCTGGAACATTGCGCAGCAGTACCAGGACAAGGAGTTCCCGCAGCTGTCGGGCGCCAGGGTGGTGCGCATCGCCACCCACCCCGACTACCAGGGCGTGAGTGGCCGTGGGGCCGGGCAGGGAGTGGCGCGCTGGGTTTAGTGGGGACGGGGGGCTGGGCTTATTGGATGCTGCTGAACGGCGGTAACAATAAAGATGTTGAACGGGAGGGGCAAACCTGGCCGGTAGTCGCTGACCGTGTTAGGAGCTGTTTAGAAAATGAGTTATTTAAAAACGCGCCTCAGTTAATCAATATGGGGGAAGGGGCCGGGTTTTGGCGTCTCGGGGAGTGGGGCAGTGAATGCATAGATCTCTGGATACGTAGCAGATGAGATTTTCTGGAATTGTAAGCTCTTAGATTTATTATGAGGCTTTCTTTGTTATTACTGAGCTGTTAATGCTTTCTGGCAAGTCAAGATCCCGGCGGTAGCTCTATATTCCGTCATATTTTCCGGGAAGTCAAACCGCAAACGGGGTACACCGTGCATTTGTCTGTGTGCGCAGATGGGATACGGCGGCCGCGCCCTGGAGCTGCTCCACCAGTACTACGAGTTCAAGTTTCCGCCCCTGGACGACCTGCCGGACCCTGCCGACACCCAGATCGAGCCGGTCACAGGTATACCGTCCGCTGCGCTGCCGTTACGCTGTGGTAGTGGTGAGGGCTAGACGTGGGCGGTTTCAGTGACTCATATTTGTTCATTTTGTGTCGTTTGTTTGTTTGTTTTGTTCTGCTGCGCTGTCATTCTATACCAGCCGTGGCATCATAAGTATCCCAGAGCCCCAGCTCCCCCGTGCCCCGGCTGCCGGCACTCGTGGTCGCTGTTGAGCCACAGGTCTGAGGTACTAACCCCTCCCCTCCCGCGCGCTCCTGTCTCCGCCCAGACTCTGAGGTGGGCCTGCTGGATGAGCAGATCGCGCCGCGAAAGAAGCTGCCGCCGCTGCTGCTGAAGCTGCAGGAGCGCCGGCCGGAGCCGCTCGACTACATGGGTGTCTCCTACGGCGTCACCCAGCCGCTGCTCAAGTTCTGGAAAAAGGCCGGATACACGCCCGTCTACATGAGGTGACTGAATTCGCGGCTTGGATGATTTTATATCCTTCTCTCGAAGTTCTGGATGGTTGAAACCAGGGCTGCGGAGTCGATGGATTTCCAGCGACTCCGACTCCGACTCCGACTCCGGCTTTCAAAAACCAGCTCCGACTCCGACTCCGGCCAGAATTGTCGACTCCGACCGACTCCAACTCCCGGCTCCGACTCCGCAGACCTGGCAGGGCTGCGGAGTCGACAGATTTTCGGTGACTCCGACTCCGACTCCGGCTCGGGTTTCTAAAATCGACTCCGACTCCGACTCCGACTCCGGTCACAACTGTCGACTCCGACCGACTCCGACTCCGCAGCCCTGGTTGAAACCTTTTCAGCGGTGATTAGCTTTGGAAGATTTCACTGCAGGGAAGTTTGTTATGTAGGGGAAGGTGGGGTAAGACGGCCCAGCGGGGCAAGACGGACCACCAGCCCTCCCGGCTGAACCGCTGCTGGTATCTACTGCTTTATGCACTCACTATGTTTGTTTTCCTTCGTAACAATGGCCACCTTGATCTCATGCTGCTAGGATGCATAGCTTTTGAGTTATTGAGAAAAATGTTGTTTTTCGTCAAACCGATCTAATATAAGACGTCTACGGGTGATTCAATTACGGAGCCTTTCTTGCATGATTAGTTTCTATTTTGCACTTAACTGTGAAGAACAAAGTTATAAACTTAGTTATAGTCACACTTTAGGAAAGGCAAGGTTTTGCAATGTTGGGCTATTTGACATATACGTCATGATAATGACAGAATTTAGATTTGGGGCAAGACGGACCACTGTGGTCCATCTTACCCTGTGGTGGTCCATTGTACCCTGCATATGGAAATTTCTTTTCCAAAACATTGACACAAGTTTAAGTAAGCTAATTTTTCAGGAAGGAGTCTTTGTTGCATGTGAGCCATGCATGCAAGTGCTCAGTTAGCATGCATTCATGCCAAACGACAATCAACACACATGTTCCCAGCTTTTAGCTGCACTTCCATCACACATGAGTAAAGAATAAAGGCTCATTTTGTTATTTTACCATTCTGGTTACTTTTTCTTACAAGAGTACAGAGCAGAAGTGTAACACACATGAACGGATAGCAGGCACTGCTGGGTGGTCCGTCTTACCCCACGTTTTTTCTTGTTTGAGTTTTTGACATGTCCCTCATTAAGAGCATCCACCACCTAGATGTCTTTAATTTGAAATTTAGTCTTTACACATATCAACAGAGGAAGGATTGAGCATTCCGAAGACTATAAATAATATGAATTACGAGGGCAGTGTAGCAAGATATGCGGACTCAAACCTTAGCTGGTCCGTCTTACCCCACCTTCCCCTACCACTAAGGACGTTTGACCCGGTCACCTTCACTGAGGTCTGCGGTTGTCCGCCTGCAATTTTTGTTGTATGTTCTTTTGCCATGCTGGATGACGTGATTCAATGCTGACTATTGACTAAGGATGTTCGTGCTTTGTACTGTTCACGGAGACAAAGAGTACCATTGACGACGAGCGGCACTGCTCCTCTCCGAGTTACTTACAGCTGTGACCTCCCACTAACCTCTCCCTCTCCACAGGCAGACGGCCAACGACCTGACGGGCGAGCACACGTGCATCATGCTGCGTCCGCTGCGGCCGTCGGCCGCCGAGCCGGCGCCGCCGCCGCCCGACGACCACTGGCTGCCGGCGTTCTGGGCCGACTTCCGGCGCCGCTTCCTGGCGCTGCTGGGCTACCAGTTCCGCGCCTTCACCACCGGGCTGGCGCTCAGCGTGCTGTCCAACGCGGCGCAGAGCCAGCCGAGCTCAGGTGGGCGGACACAGACACATAAACTGGACGAGCATTGAGTAGACACAGCCCCGGCTCATTAAACCGTACTAGCCGCTAGCGGGTCCGCCGACGAGGCGGTGCGTGCTGTGACCCACACCCTACATATTGTACCGTGACCCGCATGATTCTGCATGTAAATACTCGCGGATGTTGTTTCTATACATAAAGCTTGTGAACGAGATACCTACATGCCGGCAGCCGGATATTGGTTTCGCTGCGTGTTGATTCGCCGTGATATCATTCACCGACATCTCCTGAACCTGCATAAAAGCGTAAAAACTCCCAATATTCTGTCTAACATAAGATAACGTAAAGTGGGGCTATTTGAGCCAGTATAACCACCCTTGTGGCGCAGTTGGCAAGTGCGTTCACGTTTGGTGTGGGAGGTCCTTGGATCAAAGCTGACCTCTGGCAGCGTTTTCCTCGGCCGGCTCCTACCCAGGAGATGGCAGTAACTGGGGAGTGTTCGCTCGGTCGTGGGGATTACCGCTGTGCCAGCCAGCGCCCCCGGCCGCAGGTACACGGGCCTGATCCGCCTTTAAACAGATCCTTCGGTCCGGTGACATGTCCCGAGGGCACGGCTTCGCTTCATGTCCCGGAGCAGCCCTCTGACCTGCCGGGCCCGAGAAATCGGGATAGCCCCAGCGTGCGCACCAGTGCGGTGTCACCTGGGGTGCGTGACAGGAAGCGTGCGGTCAAGGCTGTCCCGCGTAGCGGGTGCCGAAAACGATTCGTACCACTGCCGTGTATATAGTGTACTAACCCAGTATGAATGTGTGCTACTAACGACAAAAGCCCGGGTCGGGCAACAAAAATATTAAAAAAAAGAGACAGTATTTGAAATCGCTATAAAATGAAGATCGTTTGATTTTTGTGTGATATTTTTGCTCAGGAAGGTGTGGAATCGAGCAGTAAATCGCCTGAGCAAAAAAAAGCATAAATTTCAAGTGGTTTTTATTTTATAGCAATTTTAAATACTGTCTCAAATAGCCCCACTGTCTCAAATAGCCCCACCTTACGGTAACCAGTATTTTACCAGTTTTGTTTCGCCGGGCCGAAACGGCACTGATGGTAGGCTGGCGGGTCCCCAAACACTTAAATAAGCCGGGGACACAGCATAGCGCACAGCCGTGGTGCAGTGTTTTGTAGGCCCCTGTTTGCAACTGTGATCCCACGAAAGTGGGTTTGTGAACCTCTGCTTTATCCGAGGTCGAGCCCGCCTTACAGTTGTGATTTGTGAACCTCTGTATTCTGTGACCCCACAGAGGTCGGTCTGCGATTGTTTGTGAACCCCTGCCCCCCCCCCCCTCTGACCCCCCAGTGGTGGAGCGCGCCGTACTGTGATGGTTTATAAACCCCTCTCCCCTCCGACCCCTCAGAGGTGGAGCGCGCCGTGCTGGAGGAGTTTGTGAACCCCTGCCCCCCCCTCTGACCCCCCAGTGGTGGAGCGCGCCGTACTGTGATGGTTTATAAACCCCTCTCCCCTCCGACCCCCCAGAGGTGGAGCGCGCCGTGCTGGAGGAGTTTGTGAACCCCTGCCCCCCTCCGACCCCTCAGAGGTGGAGCGCGCTGTGCTGGAGGAGTTTGTCAGTCCGTACGACCTGCGCCGGCTGGAGCTGTACGCCACAAACATGGCCGACTACCACCTGATCACGGACCTTCTGCCGGCCGTGGCGCGGCTCTTCCTGCTCGGCCGGTTCGGCGACTGCCACCTCTCCCCAGTACAGACGGTTAGTAGGGGTCCGTCCTCTGTTGTAGGTCGGCGACTGTCACCTCTCGCCAGTACAGACGGTTAGTGGTTGTCCTCTGTTGTAGGTCGGCGACTGCCACCTCTCGCCAGTACAGACGGTTAGTGGGGGTCCTCTGCTGTAGTTCGGCGACTGCCACCTCTCGCCAGTACAGACGGTGGGTGAACGGAGCGACGCTCAGTGGAATTGGCTGTGTTTGTTGCCGGCTGGTCTTTGTTTCGGGTTGTTGTGTTTTTGCGTAAGCAGTCCCTCTCCGTGTGAACATGCCACGCTGACGCGTCCTCTGCGAATTGCGATGTTTCAGTGCATTCTGATCGGGCTGGGGTTGCAGTACAAGACGGTGGACGAGCTGGCCAAGGAGCTGGATCTGGCGGCTAGCCAGCTGCTCGGACTCTTCAACAGAACCATCCGCAAGCTGACGCAACTGCTCAGAGCGGTGAGGCTTCCGTCGCACTGTTTGAAGGAAATGATGGACGAGGCCCAGCTAATATCGTCGAGTAGCGTAGCGTAGTGGTGGTGCTGGGCAATGATAATGATAGACGCCCGAAGGGCGTTAGTCGTCGGTGCCCATAGGAGGGGTGGATGTGAACTCCGTCGATTTTGTGTGTTTTCTCTATACTTTTGTGTATTTGTGTTTTTTTTTCTATATTTTGTGTATTTTCTGTAGTGGCTGGGATTGTCACGTATGAGTCAGCCGCTGAGAACTGGACTTGTTACCGTTACCGCGTCCCGTTCTGCCGTATCACGCCGCTCGCTCCGCCGTCAGGTGTACGAGAAGGAGATCGAGTCAACGTTCTCGGAACGGAAGGCCATCGACATGGGCCCGGCCGCCAAGACAATCACAGAGGAGCTGGACGAGGCGGCTCAGGTGAGACGGCGCGGTCGCGGGCGCCCCGGCCACTGCGCGGTGCACGGTAACAGAGCTGCCCCAGCCGTCTGTGCTGTTCAGCGGCGTCGGGAAGATTGGTGTCATGATCAATAGATAATAAATGCTTAACAACGATCGTCGTCCACAATGGCTATGTTTTTCTTCTGCATTTCTCTTGATTTTGTCTCAAGCTCCTAATTACCGCCCAGCTGATAAGGTCTGTGTCTCTCCCCCTAAGCCATTGGTTCTCCGACCGACGACTGTCTCCTGCTCACGTCCTCATGTCTCATCACCGTCCCCTGTAACGCCGCCCGGTCCGCCGCCCACTGTACCGCCCCTTGTTCCGCCGGTAACGCCGCCCGGTCCGCCGTCTGTACCGCCCCCTGTTCCCGCCGGTAACGCCGCCTTGTCCGCCCACTGTACCGCCCCCTGTTCCCGCCGGTAACGCCGCCCTGTCAGCCGTCTGTACCGCCCCCTGTCCCGCCGGTAACGCCGCCCTGTCCGCCGTCTGTACCGCCCCCTGTTCCCGCCGGTAACGCCGCCCGGTCCGCCCACTGTAACGCCGCCCTGTCCGCCGTCTGTACCGCCCCCCGTTCCCGCCGGTAACGCCGCACTGTCCGCCGCCCGCCGGTAACGCCGCACTGTCCGCCGCCCGTCCCCAGGAGCTGGCCGAAAAGCAGAAGGCTGAACTGGAGAAGCTGAAGCTGCAGGACCTCAGCCAGTACGTCATCAAGGGTGCCGAGAGCGACTGGCAACAGGCGCTCGGCAGCGGCAAGCTCAGCAAGAGCTCTGTCTCCGTCAAAAGGTGGGGCTGCGGTACTGTATACTGTGCGTGGCAGGCCGGGCGCTGGATGCCTCACATGTGCCTGCTGATCAGTTTTGAGGCTGTCGTGTCGTGTCGACTTGACACCCATTGTCAGTTGCGTTCCCAGTTTGAATTGGCTGACGTTTTATGCCTTTTACAGCGGGGAGAAGCGGATAGAGCGGTCCGAGATCGAGATGGACATCGAACGTCTGGACGGCCCCGTCCCCAAAAAGGCCAAGGGAGAGAAATTCAAAAACATCGGCAAACCCAAGCCGAAGCAGAAACACAAACACAAGGGCCAGCAGCTGGCGACGCGGTGATGCGACGCCGAGGACCGGGACGCCAACATGAGTATTTGTAGTAGCTAGCTCTGTGACTCGCTCGCTTGTCATTGTACTGCCGGTGTCATGATGTGTTAGAAAACAACATGTCTTTAAACATTTCTTTCTCTGAGCTGGCCAGATGGATCAAAATCGAATGAGGCAAGTTTAGTCCACATTTGAATAATCACTTAACTTGATCACTATGTGACTAGCACGCAGCACATACGGCTCGAAGCATGTATCTTTTTTTAGTCGCTAGTCTTCTAGTAGCTAGCTGTCTCTCCCGCCTCCTGCCCCCCCCCCCCCCCCGCCCCCGCCGCCCGGTCCCCTGCGCTGAAGCGTTTGTCGCTGCCCTCCTGCCTTATATGGCTGTGACGGTGCCGCGGCGCCAGCCGACAGCGCTGTTGACACATTCCATATCATAAATAACGCGTCACGGGACCGCGGTCCTCACCGCGTCACAGCGCGTCACGGGACCGCGGCATTCCACTCCGGGCCGGGCCGGGTCACCGCATTTCACAAAAGGTCTGGGTCCTGATGTGGGTACTACATCTCACTCCGGGCATGGATTCCTGGGTCTGGGCAGCAGATTCACTCCCACCCCAGAGGTCTGGTGCCGGCGGTACACCTACAGTACCGGTACAAAGTCTGGTCCGGGTGGTACTCTGCCAGTACCGGTACGAAGGTACACCACCGCCTGTCGCATGCGTGCAAATTGAAAACCGCGCAGCATTGTCCAAACACCATGTATTTTCGGGTTTTAGTTGGGCTCCGCTGCCCGGGTTATCTGTCGCCGAGTGGAGGCAGTATGCAGAGCACCGCCCCCGCCTCCTGACGGCCACTGGGGGACTGAGTGTTTACTGGCCGGTCCCGTGACATCCTGCCCTCATAGAGCTGCGGCCACTCGTCGCCGACTGAGACCAGATACAATACCGGCCGGGCCAGCCGCCACGGTCAGGCCTGGGGTGGTTGGTGCGGCGGGGCGGCCGGGGAAACGGGAGAGGCAGGGAGGGAGGCCGGGGAACAGGAGAAGCTATTGATGAACGGTAGGGAGATTAGTTTTTTTTTCTTCTGAGGAACGACAGTAAGAAGAGGGGTTTAATGAAGAAGTGCGAGAACGGTGGTTTTACTGAGCAACGGGGAACGGGAGAGGTTGCCGGGGAACGGCCGGGAAACAGTCGCCTTCTTCCTTGAGAAACCCTCAACCCTGTGTTTCCTCCGGAGCAAATGTCACAGATGAGGACAGCGCTAATGTTACTGAGAAGCGGCGGGGAGCGGATGCACTGTATGTAGAGTAAGACGAGTGGCTCGCAGAGGGAGGCAGGCGGCTGACGGGGGACTGAGGCTGCGCGGCAGAGGAGCCGAGTGAGCGAGTAGACTGGACCCGTCGGGTAATTCGCTGTCTGGGTGACGCCCTCGAACTCCGTGGTCCCTCCTCTGTGTCGGTCCCTGTCGGTTCTGGCGGCTACAGCCGGGTCTCGGCGCGGGTCGGGCTGCAGCTGCCGGCTCTGCTCAGTCCTCCCGCTCTGCCGTCTCAGGCCGGCCCTCCGCCGGGCCGACGATGTCCAGCAGCCGGAGGTAGGTGATCTTTTTGACCTCCTCCAGGCCGGTGCGCAGCTCCTCGTCTTCGTCGTTCCGCAGCCGCTCCTCGAGCCCGCTCAGGATGGCCGCCTTCTTGTTCTGGCGCGCGCACACCACGAACGGAAAGCCGAACTTGGCCTTGTACCTGCCGGCAGCGGACAGGTGCGCGGTCACACTACGATCAAGGTGAAGAGAACCAAGCTCTCTCGGGGTAGAGCTACAGGTAAACTCATCCGGGCGCGACACGCAGGTGCGCACAGATTATTTCCAAATCGGCGGCGCATCTGTTGAAGGGAGCATCAACTTTTAATCTGCGTCGTGAGCGGACAGTACAGATAATATGGGGCGTTTCCTTTCCTCCCCTCCCATTCTGGGTGACTGTTCTTCCTCCATTTCATATGTAGCGGTTGTTCGCTCTCCCCTCCCAGCGCGACTGGCGGCCGACTGTCCCTCCCCGCCGCGGTCCCACGGTACGGTCAGCGCCGGACTCGGTCGGTCCGCCGGGACACACGGCGGTCACGGTCACGGACTCGGCAGTCATGGACGGAAGCGACCACACGGCCCGTGCCGTGCGGCGGCGACTGGGCTGACCGAGACCGCTAGCCCGGCCTGTCGAGGCGCTGGTTGGCTGTGGCGTGGGGCAGTTAAGGATGGTTGTCTGGTGGCTCCTGGGCACCAGGTGGCCGTGGTGTTGCCTGTAGGACGGGTAACGGATGGTGACCGTAGGGTAGGACGGGTTACGGATGGTGGCTGCAGTGGTGTGGGACGGGTTACGGATGGTGACTGCAGTGGTGTGGGACGGGTTACGGATGGTGGCTGCAGTGGTGTGGGACGGGTTACGGATGGTGGCTGTAGTGTAGGACGGGTTACGGATGGTGGCTGCAGTGGTGTGGGACGGGTTACAGATGGTGGCTGCAGTGGTGTGGGACGGGTTACAGATGGTGGCTGCAGTGGTGTGGGACGGGTTACAGATGGTGGCTGCAGTGGTGTGGGACGGGTTACGGATGATGGCTGCGGTTTGGGACGGTTACAGTGGTTATCTGACGGCTCCCCGTCGACTGTTTGTACTCTCTCTGTCCGATGGGATGACGTGATTGTCTTTTTCGGCCGTGGCATGCCGTTTGTGAGTCGCACAGGACGTCCGGTCCCGATAGCAGCTCACTGGCCGGTCACGGACTTACTGGTGTTCTGAGAGTAGCTGAGCAGCCATGGCATTACGAATAGAGCCAATGGATCTGATCTCACTGTGCCCCATAATGACCTATCCGCCCGCACCCGACTGTCCCGCCGACCTCTGGTTCTGGTCGGGGACCCGGTGACCCCGCTGACCTGTGGTTCTGGTCGGTGACCCCGCGGACCTGTGGTTCTGGTCGGTGACCCCGCGGACCTGTGGTTCTGGTCGAGGACCCGTTGACCCCGCTGACCTCTGGTTCTGGCCAGTGACCCCGCTGACCTCTGGTTCTGGTCGGTGACCCCGCTGACCTGTGGTTATGGTCGGTGACCCTCGCTGACCTGTGGTTATGGTCGGTGACCCCTGCTGACCTGTGGTTCTGGTCGGTGACCCCTGCTGACCTCTGGTTATGGTCGGTGACCCCGCTGACCTCTGTTTGTGGTCGGTGACCCCCGCTGACCTGTGGTTCTAGTCGGTGACCCCCGCTGACCTCTGTTTGTGGTCGGTGACCCCCTGCTGGCCTGTGGTTCTGGTCGGTGAGCCCGCTGACCTGTGGTTATGGTCGGTGACCCCTGCTGACCTGTGGTTCTGGTCGGTGACCCCTGCTGACCTCTGGTTATGGTCGGTGACCCCGCTGACCTCTGTTTGTGGTCGGTGACCCCCGCTGACATGTGGTTCTAGTCGGTGACCCCCGCTGACCTCTGGTTCTGGTCGGTGACCCCGCTGACCTGTGGTTCTGGTCGGGGACCCGGTGACCCCTGCTGACCTCTGTTTGTGGTCGGTGACCCCGCTGACCTGTGGTTCTGGTCGGTGAGCTGTTGTCGCTCCTCCTCGGTCAGCTCAGTCAGCCCGGCACTGCGCTGCTCCCCGGCTGATTCTGACGTCAGCGTGCCCTGCTGAGCCACCCGGCCGGCCAGGTCGGGGTGCACCCGCAGCACCGCCTGACGACCTGTGAGGTCACGGGGAGGTCACAGGTCAGGGTGCACCCGCAGCACGGCCCGCCGACCTGTGAGGTCACATAGGTCACAGGTCAGGATGCATCCGCAGCACCGCCTGACGACCTGACAGGTCACGTAGGTCACAGGTCGGGGTGCACCTGCAGCACCGCCTGACGACCTGTGAGGTCACAGAGAGGGTGCACACAGGTCAGGTGCTCCCGCAGCACCGCCTGACGGCCTGACAGGTCACAGAGAGGGTGCGCACAGGTCAGGGTCGCCTTACCTTCACCGTGTTAGAACGTCGTGCCTTCTCACCTTGTGAGTATCCTCACTTACAGAGCGAGTGTCCCGCTCTCACCGTGGTAGGGCAGCGAGTCGAGGAGGGTGCTGAGTCGCTAACACCGGACGTACTCTTCTCACCGTGGTAGGTCCTCTCGCACTGACACTGGACGTACTCCTCCGACCACAGGACGACGACTCGTCCTGTGTCTCCCGTGTCAGTGTGACAGGAGACTCTCACACTGACACAGGACGTGCTCCTCTCACACTGACACTGGACGTACTCCTCTGACCGTGGTAGGGTAGGTGATAAGAGAAACAGGACGACGACTCGTCCTGTGTCTCCCGTGTCAGTGTGACAGGAGACTCTCACACGGACACTGGACGTACTCCCTGTGTAGCCTGTGGGGGCTCCCTCCCTCTCACCGTGGTAGGTCCTCTCACACTGACACACGTACTCCTCTCACCGTGGTAGGGCAGCGAGTCGAGGCAGGTGCTGACACAGGACGTACTCCTCTCACCGTGGTAGGGCAGCGAGTCGAGGAAGGTGCTGACACAGGGCGTACTCCTCTCACCGTGGTAGGGCAGCGAGTCGAGGAAGGTGCTGACACAGGGCGTACTCCTCTCACCGTGGTAGGGCAGCGAGTCGAGGCAGGTGCTGACACAGGACGTACTCCTCTCACCGTGGTAGGGCAGCGAGTCGAGGAAGGTGCTGACGCACTCGTGGATGTCGTTGACGTCAGAGAAGGGCCGGCTGGCCCAGATGGCGCCGGCCGCCAGCGGGCAGTGCTCCACCACGTTACCGAACCTATAACAACAACAACAACAACAACATCCAACGTGGCGCCGGCCGCCAGCGGACAGTGCTCCACCACGTTACCGAACCTACAACAACAACAACAACAACAACAACAACAAACGTGTTGCGCGGTCACCCACTGTTACAGGTTACAGAACCTGGCGCACAGCAATATACGGTTACAGAACCTGGTGCACAAGCACGCCTTACGAAAATTACGTCAATGCATGATGCCTATTTTTGCGGGTCTTGGCTGAACTATGTGGTGCCTACAACTCGACGGACTTAAGTCGGCTGGCTCACCTCTCGATGAACTGCTCGAAGTCCATCTGGTTCACGTCTGCCATGGTGATCATGTCTCCGGTCTAGTTAGGTGGCCCGGTGGCGCCCTGAGCCCGGTCTCCAGTCCGTTCAGCTCGTTCTCACAGGCTCCGGCTCCTCCGCTCCAGGCTCCCTCCCGCTCCGGCTCCTCCGCTGACCGCTCCCGGCTCCCGCCCGCTCCGGCTGCTCCGCTCCCGGCTCCCGCCCGCTCCAGCTGCTCCGCTCCTGGCTCCCTCCCGCTCCGGCCGGGTACAGTGGCCCGTCCTTCCGTCACTGGCAGTTCCGCCGTCCTCGGTTCACCGACTGTTCAGCTCCGAGTCACCGTGTGCTGCTTCAGCCCCGTTCGTCACCGCTGGACTGGACCGAGCCGTGTCCGTCGGTCGGTGGACGGGTCACACCGGCCGCTGCACCGCCTCCTCGCTGTGTGCCGTGCCGCGCGGCCACCGCTCGCCGCGCCCGGTACACCGGTCAGGTCGGACGGACGGTCTGTCGGCGACGGTACCCGGCGGCGGTACCCGGCGGCCACTGGCGGCGGCGCGACGATCTGTCGGCGACTGGCGGCGGTACCCGGCGGCCACTGGCGGCAGCGTGACGATCTGTCGGCGACTGGCGGCGGCCCGCGGCACAGGCACGGAGCGACGCCTCCCAGGAGCCCGTCGCACGGCCAGCCAGCGCCGCCTCCTGGCCCCGTCCCACCACGGTCAGGGGTATAGGACAGTCGCCCGCGGTCCGTCTGGTCGGACACGGTCCGAGCCCTATCGCCATGTTTAGACAGGCCACCCTTTGTTTATGCTCTGGCGTCGCCGGGCTGACCTTGGTCGGGTATGGACAAACAGACGTAAAAATGGGACCGATAGCGGCCGTCGTATCATTACTGTGCCATACACATCAAAATACTGCTATTCCCTGCTTTTTCTTTGATTTCGCTCATATTTTTTTCTTTTTACCAAGCGTCACCGATTGTATAAATTCACCCGTTCTTGGTAGCTCATTTAATTAGCCATTGGGCTTGGCTCAGCACATTGCACAGCTCAGCTCATTTGGTTATAGTTATGTGTGAAAAAGAAGGTTGTTAAATCGGTTTCCGTTGTATTCGGTCACTAGGTTCTTTCCTAAAGCATTGTTTCAAGTTCCTGTTCTTTTTAAGTACCTACCCTGGAGAACGAAATGCACCACTACTACCATGAAGCATCAGATGCATCGCAACATCGGTACACAAGCATGAAAATAAGGCACTGTTTGCCAGGTTAACATCTTAAAAGGCGTTTCAAACCACCCAAAGCGTTAGTGTCACATAGCCGTCACATTGTGATAAGCTCGAAGGCACCGCTGCTCAGCCGTCGAGCAGCTGATATTGTGACACGAAAATCCCCAGGCCAACCCAGAGTGGCAGTCACATAGTATTTAATCCCAACACCCTAACAGCCTTCTAGCAGGGCCAAAGCGCCATGCGGAAATGCACGGTTAACTACCACGTCGCCCTAGCAAAAATCCTTCATGGCTTAGGCGCGGCGTAACATTCAGGAACCCCTTTCTGTTGAAATCTAACTACGCTGACCAAAGTGATATGCTGCTCTCATTCTCGCCAGTTCCCTGCGCCCCGGAACGGAAAGGCTTCTCTCCAGCAGGCCGCACGGAAGACGCTTTTTTCTACACGTGGTGTCCTGTCTATGGGCTCTAGCTACTATCTACAAGTACTGGTCAGTGCGAGTGTGTCAGGGTCTGTCCGTGGTGATCCCGGGTTCACTGTGGCGGGGCGGCGGGTTCACGTTTTGCGGTAGTGTTTTTCGATGGCGCGCTCTATGTCGCACATGCCGGCCAGGAGCTGCTCCTCCATCCAGGGCAGGGCGGCCACCTGGACGCCGAGCGGCTGGCCCAGCGCGCCGCGGGACGCCTGTGGATAGACAGAGGTACTCAGTACAGTACTTAGTACTCGGTACTGACGGCTGGCCCAGCGCGCCCCGGGACGCCTGTGGATAGACAGAGAGAGGTACCTTAGTACTCGGTACCTACTGACGGCTGGCCAGGCGCGCCGCGGGACGCCTGTGGATAGACAGAGGTACTCAGTACAGTACTTAGTACTCGTACTAACTGCTGGCCCAGCGCGCCGCGGGACGCATGCAGACACAGAAACAGACAGCGCGCTGTCTGCAGCGCTGACAGCCCGCTGCAGCGGGCGACTCACTACCAAGTGCTGGCGGCTGACCCACACAAAACTGCTGCAGTATAGCACACTGCGGCACAGTCCGCCCGGATGTCCACACCCCCGGGCGGCGCTCTGGGAGCTGCCGGTACTCACGTCCTTGAACCACTGTAGCTCGACGCTGGGCGTGGGGTAATGCTCGAGCGCGGCCTGGTCCTCCTCCGTCTCGCGGTCCACCGTCAGGATCCCCGCCGGGAAGTTCAGCATGTTCATAAGCATCGTGTACAGGCCGCCCACTGCGGAAGGTCGGGACACAGACCCCGGGTAAATCGCCAGTACCGGTGGACTGGTGGGTGCACCAGTCGGGACTACACCACACCGCACTACTCGGCAGTGGCGTTGACGTGAAATTACAACCAGTATAACGCCTTTTGGGGCGACTAACGGAGCGAGCGAGAGGGTGGGTCTTGCACGTGCGAACTTGCGAGGGGGTACCTCCAACTGACTTGTGCACGGCACCCTACTAACCGGTCTCTAGCGATGTGCCAAATTTGAGCACAATCGGCCCAGCCGTTCTCGAGATCTGGAAGCGGCACCCTGCACGTGCGCACGTGCAGAAAGGGTCCCAACTGACTTGTGCACGGCACCCTACTAACTGGTCCCTAACCGTGTACCAAATTTGAGCGCCATCGGTCCAGCCGTTCTCGAGATCTGGAAACGCCCCCTGCACGTGCGCACGTGCAGCAGCACCCCAACTCTGGCACATGGATATGCAGTGCCTACTAGTGGGTGCCTACCTACATGTCAACTTTTAGCGCAATCGGCCAAGTAGTTACCGAGATATTGCAACAATTACCAAACTGACACCTCTTCGTTTTGCACGTGGCACGTGCATAAGGGGTCACCCACATGCATCGGGAATAGTCCAATACTTGGTAGAAGGAATGAAGCTACCCTACAAAAATTACCGCGTGTAAATCGGTCAAGTGGTTGCTGAGATATAAGCCTCGCAAAAGCGTCCGCACGGCCGGCCGGACGGCCGCTCATACTCAGAAATTTCCGTTAATCTAAGTAAAGACTCCGCTCGCTTCGCTCGCTCTGTAACGAATTCAACGGTCGGAATGGAGCATTGCGATTCATGGTCTCTTAGCTCACTGAGAAGACATGGAAGCGGGGAGAAGCACGGCCAATGAATTGACGATCGTAAGCGGGTTGAATGCCAATCTGCTCTGAAAACTCTCCTCCTTCCAGCGCTATCAAACATGGAGCAGATGGAGTTCTCATTCCGCTGTTTTCCGCGATTGGACATAGCGTGCCCACTAGTTTTACTGCGCCCTGCCCCATGAAGCTCACTGATCAGCTCGGAGACCCTGTGGCGGGGCGGCGGCGGGCAGGCGAAGCCGGGCAGCAGCAGCAGGTCGAGTCGCGCCGCGCGCCACCTGGTGACGGTGCGCTGCACGTACTGATCCTGAGCGGCGCGCAACACTACCGCCTGCTCCGGGTCGGCCGTCCACGCTGAGGGTGCACGGACGGCGTGTCAGGTGAAATATCAGACCCGGCATCACTCTGAGTGTAGCGTGAAAATTATAACAGGGTCTCGTGACGAGTGTGACTGTAATTCATTAAAGAAAAACATTCTAAGGTCAACTTCTACCTGAAAGGAACACGATTCAGTGACAAGCATGAGACAACTGACACCGTTCCGTGCTTCTATCCTCAGGATACAGAAATCCTTCTCCACGCCACAACCTCCTCCGGGCTGGACAAGCAACTTTATCTCATGCGGGCTGCTCCCTTGGAGCGGCACCGCTGCTCCTGAGGGAGCGCACCCCGTAGCCGGGTGCAGTGAGTGCCTTGGGGCTGGGTGGCCTGTCCTTGGACGGGCTCAGCCCCGGCGACTCACTAGGGTGCCTGCCCAGACCAATGTCTCCCCCTATATCCTATCATCCTCCCGGCTCTGAAATGGTCTCATTGGACCGAAAGGGCCTAACCCAACAAAACAAACAAAACAAACGAGACAACTGACTGACACCTACTCAGCATATGGAACAGTTAAATGAGATTACTCGCAGCTTCCCCGGAGTCTGTTCAGTCTGCCCGCGACCCCCCGACCCCCATTACGCCTGTGCGCCGACCTCTGAGCCGTGTGGGCAGGTAGCGGAAGTGTCTGTCGGTGGCCCAGCGCAGCAGGCGCCGCAGCCAGTGGGGCAGCTTCAGCAGCGTGATCAGCGTGCCGATACACACGTCCACCTCCTCGTCAGCCCTGCAGAGGCGCGCACAGGGTCAGCTGCCGGCCCGGCGGGGACGGATCGACTAACGGCACAGGCCCGGGTGTGAGGCACTCGTGATAGCAAACAAACGAACCGTCAATACCCGACAGCGGGCGTCCAACGATGTAGTGAAGGACATGACTGTCTCATAGGTAATCACTACTCGCGGGGATGATACTTTTCAGACCACGACGAAACATTGACGAACAAACGTCTGGACAATACTGCGTTTCAGCGCGATAAATCTACGTGAACACATTTAAATGGCATACGAGTCCCACCCCGGCGGGCGGACCGGCCGGTGCCCTCCTACTCACACCGCTCGGAGGAGGTGGGCGCCGTTGTCGGGCTGGACGGTCTCCATGAACAGCTGGGCCTCGGCCGGCCCGCAGTCGAGCTGGAACGGGACCAGCTCCATGCCGGCCGCCTCCAGCGCCGACACCGTCTCAGTGATCACGCGCCGCACGCCGGGCGTCACCGGACAGAACGGCAGCTCCGACAGGTAGCCCACGCGCCACGGACGGCCCGCAGACTCCAGCTGTGAGGGACGGGTACATAGTCTGGTCAGGGCAGCTCCGACAGGTAGCCCACGCGCCACAGACGGCCCGCAGACTCCAGCTGTGAGGGACGGGTACATAGTCTGGTCAGGGCAGCTCCGACAGGTAGCCCACGCGCCACGGACGGCCCGCAGACTCCAGCTGTGAGGGACGGGTACATAGTCTGGTCAGGGCACCTCCGACAGGTAGCCCACGCGCCACGGACGGCCCGCAGACTCCAGCTATGGAGGGACGGGGCCAGACGACATCAAGAGACCCATTTTAACAGACTTGAAGAGACCCGCCACAATTTGGAATAACAGTTGAGCGGCGTATAAGAACTGGAACCCGTGCAGCTCTGATTCCACAGACTAAGATGAATATTGTGTGCTTCTGGGATAGGCTCAAGAATATTGCCGACACTCTCAAGCAGCCCTATTGCGACTCCTTGTATGTACCCACCATTTCTTGTCAGATGACCCTGTACGCACAGTTTCTTTTCAGTGGACCCCGTACGCACCGTTTGGTTCCCGAGGACCCTGAGTACGCACCGTTTGGTTCCAGAGGACCCTAGTGTGTAGTATGTACGCACCGTTTGGTTCCCGAGGACCCTAGTGTGTAGTGTGTACGCACCGTTTGGTTCCCGAGGACCCTAGTGTGTAGTGTGTACGCACCGTTTGGTTCCCGAGGACCCTAGTGTGTAGTGTGTACGCACCGTTTGGTTCCCGAGGACCCTCCCCTGTGTAGGGGAGGTTGGGGTAATTTGGCCGCTTTTTTTTAGAAAACGATATAACTTAAAATTGACGACACATTTCTGCATTTTTTCAACGCTGGCAGGTGTCGCATTCATTTTACTTTACTGGACAGTGAACTTGAAATGATAGAGCAATTACTGATATTGAAATTGTGACGTATCGCAAAGGTCTGCAAGGCGGCCAAATTGCCCCACTAGCAGGGTTATTTGGCCGGGGTGTGGGGCAATTTGGCCGGTGTTAGTTTGCGGTCAGGATTCTCTGTTATATTGCGAGTCAGCTTCAGATTCAGCAGTGACGTGTGTCCTATGACCCATTTGCCGCATTTTGGAGGTTGGCTCAGGGGTCACAGGGGTCAAAATAGACAAATTAGCAGCTCTAGATGCGAAGACAGTTTTTTACGAATAACTTTTGAAGTAATCAAGCTAGGCCAAAACTTCGAGTACCATCGTAATTCTCTCGTCAGTCCGCATCGAAAGATATATGTGTTGACCTTGAGAAGTCAAGGTCAAAGGTTGACCTCAGGTCACGTTACAGCAGGTCGCTTGACCTCAAGGTCACGTGATTTCAAGGTCATCATGCATATCATTCGATGGCCTTGGCGAGCTGAACAGAATGAGACCATTTGTGCGGCTGTACCATTTTTATGTAAGGATTTATTAGCAAAAAACGTTTGGTAACCTTTGATGACGTCACATGCTCTTACAGTTGGCCACTGGCGGTCGCAGGGGGGGGCCACGGGGGCCATGGCCCCCCCTTTGGTGCTGAAAGGTGGGGCCATACTATCTTTTGGCCCCACCTTTCAGATCAAACAAAAGTCCTAGAAAAGCTTTTCGTATGTTTCATTTTCTTTCTTGGGCAATCAAAAGACGTAAATTTCACTCATAAGTGGGCTCAGTTTCGCATTCTGTCAATTTGGCGGTCAGCGTCGCTGGCACCGGTTCACGAGTATGGCCGGATCTTATATGGAATATCAGCGTGGGTTTACTTGAGGCTCTCGTAGGCCCAGCATTCAGCAATGGCTGGCATGAGACCCTCTTCGGCAGTGGCGGGTGGGCCCTGCTAAAGGAGATTGGCTCCAAGACACTAAAGTAAGACCTCATGGGTTGGTGCTGTGCACCTCAGAAGCCCGGTGGTGACGCCGTATGCCGGCTTGGTTTAGCGTGGGACCTACGGGGCTTGCATAGAGTTTGCATGAGCTAGTATGTAATCTCAGAGGCATGTGTGTAATGTGTACACAGTGGCGGTCGCGGGGGGCCGGGGGGGGGGGCATCAGGGCAATGCCCCCAAAGGTCAATAAAGGGGGCCATCATATCATTTGCCCCCCTCAAACAACCAATGGGCCCCCATATAGGTGTATGGGGCCCTGACAATTATTCGATCGTCACGAGGCTAAAAAAACCACGTCCAGCTCCCACACCGGTCTTTGAACGTCCTACACTGACCTCTGAGGGAACTTCAGTGGCGGTCAAGCGCCCACGTTGACCGCTAAGAGCCTACATCAACCTCTGAGGCCCCACATCTGGCCTATGAGGGCCCCTAACCGGCCTCAGGGGTCCCAACCGGCGTCTCAGGGTCTCACACCGGTCTCTGGTGGCCTTATTTCTGTCTCTGGTGTCCCAAGACGAACCTTTAGGTGCCAAAAAGGGCCCCGCACTGGCTGCTGAAGACCCGATGCCGGCCTCTAAGGGTCTGCATTGGCCTCTGAGGAGGGCCCATCTTGGCCTTTGAGGGCCCTCTGCTGGCCTCTGGGGTCCAACGACGGCTCATGCCGGTCTTTTAGGGCCCCACGCTGACCTCTGAGGGCCCATGCTGGCCTGTAATGAGTAAGGACCCACATTAGCCTCTGAGAGCCCAACTCGGTCTCTGATGGTCTCAAACTACTGGCCTTTGTAGTTTGCAGGCCCTGTACTGGTCTCTGAGGACCCTAAACTAGCCTCTACATGAAAACATACATGGGTGGGTTTCTGAAGATCAGAGGGCTCACGCAGTCTCCGGCACAGCCTTACGTTGGTCCTGATCGAGATTGCTTTACGTCCTGATGGTCCCGCGCTGATTCCCTCATATTTCGAGGTCGGGACCCCATGAGCCGGTGTGGGTCCTGGGGCTGGCAGAGACTGATGAAGTCCTTAGGGCTCAGGGCCAGTCTTTTTAGCAGTAGGACTAGGCAGGTTGAGTGAGCCCCAACAGAGCCGTTGCGAAGCCCCGCAGGAGTCGCGCGCGGCCCTCAGATGCCAATTCTGAAAGCTCGGAACCTGTGGGGGTCTCCAGAGGCCGGTGTACCTACTCTCTCCCGCCGCCACACAAGTAGGTACCTATATGGGTAAATGTCATAGTCTAAAAATGCTCTCTGGGTTTCACATGCTTGTTCAAAGCAAGAGGTATCTGTACTTTTAAGCATGATGTATCTGTACTTTTCCGAATTGTTTTATAGTGGTAAGGTCATTAATCCGCGTGCCTGACCTTCCAGTATACCTATGCTACACCGATCCGTCGTCATGGACGGTGCAGCGGCCCGACCGGTGGGCACACCGTGAGACGGTAAATGGAACTGGTGATTTTGCCTTAAATTGAGCTCAAAGATTTCACGCAAGAATGAGATGGATGAAGCATAAGTAATGCCAACTGTGCGGCGCCTCGTGGACGTAAAAAACTAGCCGATCACCCCCCACCACTCCCGGTGACGGATAAATGTTATGTCCCGCGAGTGTGACTTTGGCCCCCCCTTTTGCTAGCGGCTGCGACCGCCAGTGCAGTTGGCCAATCGGAAGTAAGGCATCAAAGTAGTCAAAGTTGGTCATGAATAATGTCATTTATGGTACAATTGACCATGAAAACTCGGCCGTCCCAGCATAGTGACCATGAGCGCACCGGCGAAGTTGCCCCGCTAGTCGCGGCCAAATTGCCCCATATTGCCATTCTGAAATTGTTTGTCTATAAAGTCATCACGGCTATACGGAATTAGATAAAATTGCTCTTGAAACCGCTGAACACCCCCAAGAATGGTGCTATAATGTCTGAATTCGTTTTTAGCCCGAATACTACATGTTATACAACTTTGTAAACAGAAGTAAAAGTTACCGTTTTCTAATGAAATTAACGTTTTATTAATTTTGATTAAAACTACGAGGGGCAAAGTCTTGACATTTGCCCTCCAGTTATTTCTACCTATGACAAATGAAAAGAGACTAGAGTTATTTCACTCACTTTTATTAGACATCGTACAGGTGGGGGCGGCCAATTTACACCACCGGCCAAATTACCCCACTCTCCCCTACTTACCGATTCGTTCCAGAGGACCCTGTGTAGAGTGTACTTACCGTTTCGTTCCAGAGGACCCTGTGTAGAGTGTACTTACCGATTCGTTCCAGAGGACCCTGTAGTGTGTACTTACCGATTCTTTCCAGAGGACCCTGTGTACTTACCGTTTCGTTCCAGAGGACCCTGGGCAGCAGCGGGTCCAGTCGGTACATGTCGGCGCCGGGCAGCGGCGTGGTGATGAGACGCAGCACGCGCCGCACGTCGGACGGCTCGCGGGCCAGGAAGCCGACGGTGGTGCGGACTGAGGGCGACACGGCCGGGGGGGGGGGGGCGGTCACACGGCACCAGGCACGAACAACAAAGGCGGGTACAGATGACGAAACGGAAACGACCGACCACCTCCAGAAACTCGGCAAAATTATACCAAAATAATGACAGATTTTAGTGAAAACGATACTTGGGCATTTGGACTTTGTGCTGCAGCTTGTTAGCACATTGTCCAACTTTCAAACGAACTATCTGACACTTTTTGTAACGGTATAATGACGATCGTCAAAGAAGAAAGAAGAACACGAGTCATACTCACTGCCAGTGGTAGCCGGCATCACCGATCGCAGGCCGCTGGAGCTGCCGGGGAGAGGAGGACAGCCGTCAGCGGCGCCAATCAGTGAAGTAGGTGGATCACAGCAACACCACCATCTTGGTAATAACATCTATCTATAAATGTTATACAATTCAAGGACATCAACATCAGAAAATATCCAGAAAAAGGAAAGTGAATAGTTGAGCGTGATTAATCATCTTTACCAGCATATTTTTATCACCTTCCTTTCACTATCCTGATCCCTGTTTCGTCTCAGCCTCACTGAACTCTCATTGCCCCGACAGAAGGGAAGGGCCCGGCTCCTCCTCTGGACACCCCACCCTCCCTGGACCCCGCCCGTACCTGACGCGTCCACGGAGTCAGCTGACCCATCCCGCCCGCTACAGCCCGCGGTACCTGACGCGTCCGCAGGTGGGCTTGAAGCCGCAGCAGCCGCTGAAGAGCGCCGGCACGCGCGCGCTGCCGCCAATGTCGGAGCCCAGGCCGAGCGGCGAGCCGCCGGCGGCCACCAGGACGGCCTCGCCGCCCGACGAGCCGCCCGGCACCCGCGCCGGGTCACGGATGTTGGTCGTGACGCCCCACACCGGGTTACTGCAGCCGAAACTGGCGGACAGACAGACAGAGCTCGTATGAAACGGGCGGACAGATGGAGCTAGCATGGAACGGGCGGACCGACGGACAGCGCTCATAATATGACACTGGCGGGCAGACAGCGCTCATATGAAAGGGAGGACGGACGGACAGCGCTCATGTGAAACGGATGAAATAACACAGCAAACCAAATGGAGACCGATGTCTGTCTCAATGAACTGACAGAACCGAAGTGATGGCTGTGCATGCAGACAAGAGGCCGTATCTACACCGCTCGTCGTTTACGAGTCGGCAGTAGCTGGGTAGGTCAAAACCTGCAAAAGCATCTGAAATGCTGTGTAGTGTATGTGGACAGTTTGAATATGTACAGTGTACTAGCAGGCATCAGCAACTTTATCCCAAACGCCACCCTCACCTTAGCATGGTCTGCGGCACGTTGGTCTTGCAGAACGGCACTGCGCCCAGGTCAATGAACGTCTGGACCAGCGGCGCGTTACTGGCGGCCGGCCTGTCCAGGTACTTGGCCAGCCCGAGCGTCGAGTCAAACCCCTCCAGGTCTATGGAGTCCTTGACGCTGATGGGTACGCCGTGCAGCGGGCCTCGCTTGGACTCTGGCAGGGCGTCCAGCGCCGCCGCCCGCTCCTGTCGGCGGCGGCCGCAAGACGTTAGCAATGTTCATTTCCACAGTAGGCTGAATGGTGAATACGTACGGCGGACAAGAATCGACCAAATAAGCGTTGAGACAAAACAATGGAAGAAGAGCAAAATGTCTGTCTTTTCATCTGCGATCAGGATAATGAAGTCAGCGTTACTTACATCAGCGTTCAGCACAAACTCAGTAACGCAGTTGTAGAGCTTGGTGACTTCCAGGGCCTGCAACATTAAAACAAAATGACAACACCAATATAACAGGACTCGGTGTTCGCTTTCGGACGTGATGGCAAACATTATCACATATTAAGCTTGGAAGAGAATCCGTGATCAGAAAAAAACGAAATGTTGCAGCAAGCACCCAACCATATGACTGTCCAACATTGGCCGGGAGGGCCCGGTACAATACTGACTGTCCTACCTTAGCTTGGTACAGTCCCGGCACAAACCTAACTGCCCCAGTGTCCCCACCCTGGCCTGGTAGGCCCGGTACAATCCCGACTGTTCCACCTTGACCTGGTAGGCCCGGCACAATTCAGTGTCTAATCTTGGCTTGTTTAATCTTGTACAACCTCAACTGTCCCAATGTCCCCAGCTTGCCTGGCCCGAAAGAATTCCGACTGTCCCACCTTGGCCCGGTACCATCCCAACTATCCCAACTGTCCCACATTGGCCTGGTAGGTCCGGTACAATCCCAACCGTCCACGTGCCCCACCTTGACCCGGTACAATCCCAACTATCCCACCTTGGCCCGGCACCATCCCAACTGTCCCACCTTGGCCCTGTACCATCCCAACTGCCCCAGCTGTCCCACCTTGGCCTGGTAGGTCCAGTACCATCCCAACTGCCCCAGTGTCCCCACCTTGGCCTGGTAGGCCCGCAGCGCCTCTGTGGCGGTGATTTTGCCGCTCTGCAGCTGCTCGATGAGCTGGGCCAGCGGCAGCTCCACAATCAGCTGGCGCCGCACGGTCATCAGCTGACCGCCGGTGGTCAGCTGTTGGGTCAGCAGCTGCCGCCGGTGACGCTCCAGGTCCAGCCGGCGCCGCACCCGCTCGTAGTACTCGGACTGAAACGACGGCGATAGATATTGATGATATATAAAATCAAACGAGTGTCACATTAGTGGAACAGTCCCATCAGGAAATGGCACACATCTCGCACGTACACTGCACGCCCGAGTCGAACGACCGGCGCCGTGGACCTCACCTTGACCGAGTGTCCTTTTCTGAGCCACCAGAGCAGCGCGACGGCCGACACGGTCCCACAGGCGACCCCGACCGCCCGGCCGTCCACGTCGCCGGCTGATGGAAGCCAGTGAGCCGACATCGCTCACACTGGGGAGCGGTCCCTGGTGCCGCAGCAGCCACCGGAGCACAGTCACTGGTGTTACAGCAGCCACCCGAGCACAGTCACTGGAGCTACAGCAGCCACCGGAGCACCGTCACTGGAGTACCGTCACTGGAGCAAATGTCAGCAGTCACTGGAGCTACAGCAGCCACCGGAGCGCCGTCACCGGAGCGCCGTCACTGGGGAGCGGCCGGCATCGTCCGCCGTCCGTCCGTGTCTACTGGTGCAGTGCAGACGCAGCCCGGGTCATCGCTCACCCGGACTGAAAACAAAACATAGCAACACAGAGATTACCACAGGTCAATAAACAGCATCATCAGCAGCAATCGGCAGTCCTGGTGAGCGCATTAGGAGAGCCTTAGAATGGATTAATAATGATAAAAATGACACCAGGACACGTGTCATAAAGCGAGTCCGTAACTTATGCCGGTTTTTGGTTTTGTATTGCAAGTGCATGTGAAGCGATGACGATATTTTGAATCGTTAAATCTATTTATCTTGCAAGCAAGAACAGAAGGGAGAAGGGGAAATACATGTATCGCCTCACATGCGCTTGCAAGTTGCAATACAAGCCCAAAAACCGGCGTAAGTTACGGACTCGCTTTATGAAGCGAGGCCCAGGACACGCGTCATCAATGAACGAATCACTGACCACTTGAGTGGATTGCATCATTGGGCGATTAACTCAACGGTGATTTCAGAAAGGACATTAGGCAGAGGATCGATTATGATTGAGCAATAAATATTTCGAGTAGGTTAGGATGACTCTTGTCTTATCATACCTACTTATATGCATGGTCACAATGCAGTGAATTGCGAGCCCTTCGGTCTGATGGCACGAGCAGGGTTATACGTGTTCTGCAACATCGACCCGTGTGCTTGCAATATGAATACCACACGGATAGATCTATGGGCAGTGGCGTAGGCAGCATATACAAACAAGTCCCACAAGATGCGCGGTTCAAGTGCGTTTTACATCAGTCGGCCTGCTGGATGTTGCGGAAGGGGCGTGCTGTTTGCTATCCAACTCTCGGATCGAGGAGCTGCTGATAGTCCAGGCCACGTTCAATTAATTACCCCATATTTGTCACGAATTTTCCGTTTTTATCAAAATGTCGGCTAAACTGTGTTCTCTTGACTTTTGATATGATTTGCCTCCCGATTTGCTGTTCGACTGAGTTTAGATGCATGTTTTGTCTGTCTATCATTCTTCCCGTCCCTTCCGGCCGGCCGGCGCTCAGCCGCCCGAGCCTTGTGGGACCATGTGCGGGCCACACACGTCACCGTCCTGGGCCGACGGCCGCGTTCAACTTCAAAGCCGATCAGTGGTTCGACGAGTGTCGCCAGGGAGAGGACCCTGCTATCCTGACATGGAGAAAGCAATCAGTGATGGTTGATTTTGGGTATTAGTAGAGCAGACGTCACACGAAGGTTTTCCAACCAAGGAGAGGTGCTATGCCTGGAGATACTTCTTTCTAACAAAACCTAAACAAACCTAACCTAACCTGACCTAACCTAGCGGCTAACCTACAACCTACAACCTACAAACCTACAACCTAAAAACCTTCAACCTACAACCTACAAACCTACAGCGCCTCTCCTCAGTTGGAAAACCTTTGTGTGACGTCTGCTCTACTAATGCCCATATTTCTGGGGAGCATTCCGGTCTAGGGGTAGGTAAGTTACTCGCCAGTTGCCTCTAGATTCGGCCATCCGGGTTCGATTACCAGGCAATGCACGTGGCATTGCCGCTACCTGAACGCTTGGAACAGCGTGAGAGTTCCGGTTAGGGCCTTGGTCCACTGGATGTAGTGCTTAACCCAAACCAACCAACCAAGCCCATATTTAAAAAAAAATGAATGTTGCTCAATGCTCATTTCAACTTCTCAATTCACATCCCACACTGACACACCCTACTCAATTCAAATTTGTGCCTTATTTACCTGGCAGTGTAGCCAGCAGTTGTTAAATAGCGAATACATATACTTATACTTACAAAGTCAATATGACTTTTTGCAGAAGATAAACACTTAATTCAAAATAACGAATATGTCTTCTACGATGCTGTACGTTCATTACTTTTAGCTTTTTTTGTGTTGTAGATAGTTTGAAACTAGTGCGCTACGTTTGAAGCAATTGGTAGCTAATGCTACCAGATTCATGGAAAGGAATTTCCTTTACGAACACTACGGATAATATGCCTTTTCAGTTAAAAAATAACAAAACATTATCTCACCTGACCTAACCATACCTACAACCTAGTCACCCTACAACTTACCAATAACCAACCTGCAACCTACAACCTACCATTCCTACCTAACAAACTAGATATGACAGCTCGGGTGACGTCTGCTAAGAGATTGCCGCATTGTGTACTTTGTATCATTTTGTAAGAAACCTTATCAGAGTTGGGAAACCAAACATTTGCTGGACAACATTTCCAGGGCAATTTCACTCCACACTTCACACTAGAAAGAAATGATGTGTCTGCGTGTGCTCAGATAGACAATGATACGTCAACTAAAGGTAAATTATAAATTAAGACTACAAATAAAAACTGAGGAAAACAATAAGAAAGAAAAAGATAACGTTCTGGTGGCGTTGGTGAAGGTAGACAGGCACAGTGACGGAAGACTGCCCATCTTGCACCAATGTAGTGTTTAAACAGTGGCTGGGACTGGCATGTCTTTGGAAAATAACACAACTATAACCCCAAAATTGCATTTAACAAAGAAAGTAGTGTGCTTGTGGGATGAAGGTAACTGCATGCCGTGCATGCAGGTGTTCTTATCCTAATTTGCCAGTCATCAGCTTTGCTTTTTTGCCTTCATTATCAATGTTTAACATCTGGGTTGAGTATAAATAAATTTACTATTTTAACTGCTTTCCACCCAATATTTTATCAAAATGTAGGTATGTGTTGTATGCTACATATACCTATTTTCCACTTCCCCATATAATTGAAATTTTCATGCTTCGCTGGTGGCACTGTGCCACATAAATTTTGTGCTACATTGACACAATTTTTGTACGCCATTACAGTCCACTACCACCTTAAAAGTGAAATTCCAACTTGAACTCTGCCCTCTGTTCCGCCATCCAACTGGTGGCCTTCAAGCTTGTGATGGAGTTTCCAATGTTGGACATGGCTGAGGCAGCTCTAAACTGATTGGTCATTCACACATGTCCTTGGACAAGCTTCTGCAAATGACCATATGGAAGATGTCCATCATAAGTGACGCTTATGGGAAATGAGTTGTACTGCTGGCCATCTTTGAATGAATGTTTTTTTTTTGCATTCTTTTCAGAGACCGCCCCTCGTTCGGAAGGTGGGAGTCATTCTGCAAGGCTTTGAAAAGGGGACTCCACAAAATCTGCCAAGAGTGAGCATGGAGATGATGATGGACTTCTTCAACAGCAATAATTGCTATATACAGCCTGGATGTCAGCACCACAAAGTTGAAAGGTAAATATCGAGACATGGTTATTTCAGAATGAGAATATAAGGAAGGATTTGCAACAGGCTTAAATATAAGTAAAATGTTGAGAGGAGGGGGGGGGGTGAGCAGCAAAACTACTCTATATAAAGGCATGCTTGTGATGACTTTTGGGGGGTCAAATCACATATCAATAACATAACCCATGTGTCTAATGAGTACCCAGGGGCCAGGATCCGCCCTTTTGTTTTGTGTTTTGGAAAAGCACTGGCGTACATACATATGTTTTGTATTTACAGGTCTAAGGGCGAAAACTACAGTCCCGATGCCGTCGGATATGTGCAGCTGAAGCGTGAAGACTCCGTCTGCACTCTTCACGCCAGAGTGACGCCGGAGACCAAAGTCAGCGCTAAGGCTTACGAGGTGATCGTAGTCATAGATGAGCGGTCTGAGACCATCAGTAGCGCGCAATGTCAGGACTGTGTGGCTGCGGCAGGAGGCTGCAAGCACGCTGGAGCAGTCCTGGGTTGGCTGTTCATGAAAAGTTCCGAAAAGAGTGTGACTAGCACCGAGTCGTACTGGAAGAAGTCCCGCCTATCCTCGGTACCAGCTGAAATCAAAAGTGCCGCTATCGAGGTGCTGCGACCAAAACAACGCAGTAGCACGGCAGGCAGTAGCAGCACCAAAATGATAGGTGCAGATGCGTTGGAGGCCTTCCGCCAGGAAGTTCTGCAATTAGGAACCGCTGCCAACTCGTCCGGCCTATTCTTCAATCACTACGGAGCAGTGTCGCAGGTTCACGAGGTGAGAAGTGTGGGAGTAGATCGGCTCCTTCAGGCATATGTAGCCCACAGTGACGCCGCTGAGCCCCTGTCTGCGCCGGGGTTCTTGGCGTTCTGCAAGGAGAGGATGTGCTCAGAGTTGTGCGATCTTGTTGCGGAACAGACCTGTGACCAAAGTCAGTCCTGGCTGTGGCACGCTATGCGTTTCGGTCGCGTCACCGCCTCTAAGGCCTACGCCGCGGCGCACTGCCAGAAGTTAGATGGCACTATCGTGTCTGGTATCGTCGGCGCTGCAACGCTGAAGGACAGCGCCGCAATGGAGCGAGGTCGCGTTCTGGAGCCACAGGTGCTAGATGTAGTGGGGAATCACCTCGGTGTCGAGTTGCGACGAGCGGGGCTGATTCTGTCACCCAACTACCCGATGTTCGGCGCGTCCCCGGATGGGCTTACTCCAGACGGTAGCGTAGTGGAAGTTAAGTGTCCTGTTGACGAGAAAAACTTTCACAAGTACATCCTCGCGAACGGTCAAGTTGCTGCTAGATTCCGCGCGCAACTGCAGATGTTGATGACGTTGGCTAGTGCAAAGCGATCGTTTTTCTGTGTAGCGCACCCAGACTTCGAACGGAGCGGTCGTGTCAGCATTGTGGAGCTCGAGACCGATGAGAAGTACAGTGAGGACCTACTCAACCGCTGTGATAGCTTCTGGAAGGCAGCTGTGTTCCCAGTACTTGTGAAGTCTTATAGCAGCGTCTGACCTAGTAGCACTCAGCAGACTGTGATATGGTGACGGACGGGGACCACTAATGAACGGCAATCGTTAGTGTTGTTTGCTCAAACGTTTTTAGTAGAGTGGACTAACCCCGCGTTCGGAGTCTCCCGGACGGCGGAAGATTCTACACGTACGTCGTCCGGCCAATCCCGTTCAAGGTCGGCGGGAGCTTGGCTGCGACCATGGAACGGGATTGGCCGGACGACGTAGAATCTGCATCGTCCGACAGACTCCGAACGCGGGGTAAGTTCATTGTAGGTTCTTCACTATTCCTTACACATCACAAAGGTTGGTGTAATTAGTTGCGCAGTGTCATATGTACATAAGGGTTGTAACATTGGGCAGAATACAGCTTGAATGACATGTACTTTGTTTATTGCACAGTCGCACACATGTTGAGCGATCGATCATCCGCGTGACAGGGTAAAGGCCGGCGCGCGAGGAACCACCCACATGAGCTGGACGCGGACGACCAGCGGGCTGACATCCATAACAGCGCATGCACAGCGCGGAACACGGCGTATCCGCGATCACGTACGTCTTAACTCTTTGTGATGCGATCCTGTAGGTTCACCAGGCCGCAGGCGATTCTGACCATGTCGTCGAGCATGTCCATCATGGTCAGTGGTGTACAGGCGTGCATGCTCAACATTTTAAAAACGCGGACACGCGCAATGACGCGTTCAATGTGGATCCGCACACCCGCGATTGTCCGCATTCGTACCACCTCGTCTGCATCCAGCTGTTTGCCGTTTTGCACACTAGGAGGTCTAACTAGCGAACACCCACGCCTGGCCAACTCAGTAGCCAGCTCCTTAAAACCACGGTCAGCAAGCACGGTCACGCCTCTGCGCAAGCATTCCAGGTAGCCTGAACTACGCACAAGCTCCATGTCAGACACCCGACCTGGCTTGCCTTTAGATATAAAGTTTATCATTCCGTCAGGCGTCGCAGAAATGACGTACTTGACACTATTACATTTTTTATACTCTGACCAGGACAAGCTTTGCGACACAGAGCGCGCTGGTTTTTCAATCTGAATCTCAAAGCAATCGATGATGCTTTCACACGACGAGAAGTTCGCCAAAAACACGTGTGGAAGGCGGTCTCGGATCGTCTGCTGATCCGGCCAGACTACCAGAGCACCCACATAGACGGCAATAACCGGCACAAAACGAGCCAACAGCCGGGACACCGTCGCAGCACTAACTCCAAATTGGTCGGCCAGTAGATGGCTAGGAGTGTCCTGTCTGAGACGGTAAAGTATCATAAAAATGACATCCCTCTTCGTAAGGCATTGGCCCCTGTCAGCAAAACTGATCCTGTTTTCCAGAAGCGAAATGATACCGAAGAGCTCTTCCGGTACTCCAATGTAACGCGCCGGGTGTTTTTCAATATTGTTCCTTATTACTTTACGGGCCATTACTTTGAAAAACGTCTCGTCTGTTGGGTCGGCCGATC